AACTAGGTTGACTATGGGTGCCTAAAGCGGCAAGTCTCGTTGAATTCATCCTGGCCGACGACGCCAATTGTTACCTAGGCAAGTTGCATACCCTGCTCGCAGCGCCATATGTAACGAGACTTATCCTGCTCGCAGAGCCAAATGTAACGAGTCCCCGAGTCTATCCTGCCGACAACGCCAAATGTAACGAGTCTCTGGCTACCCTGCCGACAACGCCAAATGTGACCTTCCCGAGTCTAACCACTCATTCCACACAACATTGACCACAGCATAGATACTCGAAGATGCAGGTTCATTATTGATCCTTTTATTACATGAATCAAAGAATGCTTCACAATAATATAATGAATCAAGAGAGGTTTCACAATAATAGTCTGAATCAACGGACCCCCAACAGTCCTCACTAGGCTTCATCTAACTGAATACACATGTCTAACGTCCTTCTTAACACAATATAACCAACTTGATACTGCCACCCTGAGAGAGAGAGTGCGACTCCCTGACTGACTGACCGACTGACTGACTGAGAGAGACTGCCTTTCTGAGAGACACTGAGAGACCTCGAGCTCAGCCGTCGCCTTCCTTATATCCCCTTCATAATCGTACTCATATTCGGTCCTATCATAATCGTAATTGTAATCGATTCTAATCGTTACATCAGACTGTTAATTACGCCGCTTCTGTCGTACAGTCCGATTTTAATAAGCCACCTGCATCCTGTCACATCAAAGTTGACAGACCGTCTTTCGTATCGCTTCCCGAGATATTACGCCTTGGCATCAGCCAACACCTGCACTGTGACGTCAGACTGTAACACGTTATGTCTCTTGGTAACTTCCCCTAGTTACATATATATACATATATATATATATATATATATATATATATATATATATAAATATATATATATATATATATATATAACGACAGTGAGAGGTATGATATGGATATAATTTTTAAATTAGCAAGTGCGCCCACTCCTTCCCTCGCTACCCTTTTGCCACCTACACACTACATAATCTCCTGGATATACTGAGACCACTAGTACACATATTCACCTATACATCTAGCACAGGTGTCAGTCTGACCTCCACCCGCGTAACAACTTAAGCACGTGCGTCCTACAAGAGCTCATCTCTTGGTCATGGAACAGCTCGTTATATGCGCATCACCAAGCTCCAGACACTAAGGCACACCAGACACTATTGCCACGGCGAAAACAGTTTTCACAAAACACGTGCAGATTTTCTAGGCCGGAGCTGGTGCTGCCCTTCTAGAACCTTCTGTAGAGGGGGTCGGTTTGACATGAGTTTTGAGGAGAGTGGTTACAAATGGGCTTGTTATGTGTGTGTGGTGGTTACATGTGGGGTTCTGTGTGTGGTGATTATATGTGGGATAGTTATATGTGTGGGGGTCTGTGTGTGGTGATTATATGTGGGCTAGCTATGTGTGTGGGGGTCTGTGTGAGCTGATCATATGTGGGCTAATTATGTGTTTGGGGGTCTGTGAGGTTATTAAATGTGGGCTAGTTATGTGTGTGGGGATCTGTGTATGTGGGAAGGGGGCTACAAGTGGGCTAGTTATGTGTGTGTAGGTCTGTGTGGGGTGGTTACAGATGGGCTAATTATGTGTGTGTGTGGGTCTGTGTAGGGTGGTTAAGATGGGCTAGTTATGTGTAAGAGGTAGTTTCTTAAGCTAAACGTGAGTTGGCTACATAGGGTTTATGTTATATGAGGTGGTTATAGGCCAATATTTTAAGTTACGGTTATATTAATAAATGGCTTTATTTAAATAGTGACAACATTATTTATTGTAATACCAGACTTACGCGTTGCTTAAGGGAATAAAACCAGTAAAATAGACAAATCAAATCCATTTTTTTTTAGAAAATATATTTAGAATTTTAAAAATTTAGATTAGAAAAAAAAGAAACGTTGCTGAAAAATGAAAACAAACGTCTAACATTTTAAAATGGGTTGTTTTCTGATACTGTTATACTTGTCAACAACGTTGATGGTCTGGGTAAAAGTGCTTGTCTTGTAGCATTAGTTTTTTAGCAGAAAATCTCAGTTTAAAATTTTTGTTTTTAAAAACCTTTTAACTGTGTATTAGTTAAAATTGTCTTTATTATCAACATAACATTTTAGAAGACTGTAGTGCAGGGGTCGGCAACCTGTAATTCGCGAGCCGCATGCGGCTGTTTTAATGTCAAGATGCGGTTTTCCAGCTCCATAATAATTTTTTTTTTTTCAAAACTAAAAAATAATACACTGTGAAAACAACTTTAAACAAAATAAAAAACATTGAGAATAGGTGTAGTAGAGCGTATATGGACAGCTGACAGCCGATGAGCATTAGGCCCAGCCCCACAACTATGTTGTGGCCAGCCCTGTGGCAATGGTTCCAAGCTTCCCACTACCGAAGTGCTCATAAAAATGTTAGTGGCTCTTTAAAAATTGGGAAATTTAGTAGATTGTAGCTTTTGACTCTTCCGTCTTAAAAGGTTGCCGATCCCTGCTGTAGTGGAATGTACTAAAAATGTGGGTGGACGTACAATGTGTCCACCCTCTGTGTCCATGTCAACAGACACACATTGTACGTCCACCCTCTGTGTCCATGTCAACAGACACACATTGTACGTCCACCCAATATTTTTGTCCCTATCTAAGACGGGCGTGTAGTAAACAACTCCTACAATCAACAAATGGCCGCGGCTGTCCTTTCTCCCATTCATTTATCCAAGCTTTCAAATATTTCCTTGTATAAAAATCTCCTGCCACTTCACATCTCTAGAAATTTATTCCACCCCCCCCCCTCCCCACCCCCCTGTCTCGAGTTTCCCCCCTCTAGGATTGAAATCTTGCAGCGAAGGCAGGGTGAGCGCTGGGACAGGTGAAACTCGCCTCACGCGCTCGCCTCATGGCCTAGTGAAACGCTCACTTCTGCTCAATGTTAACTGTTAAATCTTAGTTCGGATTATTTTAACATTAAACATCAACAGCTTTAAAAAAAATTGAATTTTTTGACAAAGGGTTAACTGTTCCTTCCCACCCCCTCCAACTTATTGAAACCAGCGAGTTGTTAAAAGATGTTGTTTCTTTTTTTTTTTTTTTTCATATAGCCTAATCCTATAAATAAACATTTTATTCTCATATCTCCATAGCTTTAGCCTTTACTGTAAGGACTAGGGGTTTGGTAAGAACAAGGTTTAGTATTCAGTTGTTGTTATTACATGACCTCCCCCCCCCCCCTACAAATGACTGGAACAAATGTTTATCACTAGGCTTACTACTCATGAAAGTAACCTTTTCTACTTCAGAGAATCATACACAAGTTGTTTCTCTTAACGCCTAGTGTTTTACCCAATATAATAGTTGTATTTAAAAGTAATTGCTTTTTTATACGGCTGAAATGGTATTAGAATGTACCATTATAACATTAAACAAATGTATGTTTTTTTTTTAAATTAACCACATGAACACTACCGTACGCCGTTCGCTAAATGGAATGAGAAATGAAAGAACATTGACACATTCACTTTGGTTTAACATACGTCAATCTGTGTTAACCCTTGCTAGTCTCTGCTAACCCGCGTTTGGCCAGATACTGATGACGAAAAATAAACAAACACTTTAATCACTGTGGCTGATCTCGTTAAAACCACACACCATTAACAGCACTTTTCGGCTGGTGGTTTTAGCTCTACTGTGATCATTTTACTAGCAGAATCAACTTCATTAGATCACTCGTGTCGTATATTTGATATTCAGTTTTCTGGTGTGTTGGATCTAGGTGTCTACAAGAACCAAAACAGCCCAGTCGCTAATGTAAGGAGCGTAGTAAAAGATCTACCTTGTGTTGGAGGGCAAGCCCCTGTAATCCGATTCCAACAACTTTCATCACAATTTTTTTTTAAATAAAAAAATAAAAATCCCTGAACCCTTTCTATCCATTCCCTCCAATTTGTTTTCGCTTGTTAAAAAACAGTATAAACCGCATACCATACAGTGTTAAATTACTTTTTCTAAATTTGTATTGTGTAGCATGTTGGTTGTAGTCAGTGGCGTAGGCAGGGGGGGGGTCATAACCCCCCCCCCCCCCATAGACCCCTCGGTATATATATAAAAAGTATGAGGGGGTGCAAATCGAAAGTTTGAGGGGGGTGCAAATCGAAAGTTTGTCCCCGGGTGAAAATTGGAACACCCCCCCCCCCCTTGAGACGATCCTGGCTACGCCACTGGTTGTACTGTATGAACAACTTTACTCTCCTCCCTCTCCCTCCCTTCCTCCCTCACTCTCCTCAGCCCACTCCCCTACCGCTGTCCAAATTGCATAGACTTACACTGTAAAAACAAGAAAAACCAACAAACGGCCGTGGGAATTTCCGATCTAACAAGACACGTCTCAAATTAAAAGAAGGAAAAAAAACAACCAATGGCACCCGTCTAAATCCTTCAGGCGAAAGTCACGTGATGCGATACAAATAAAGATGATAGCCCACACAACTTCCTGTTTGTACAAAAACAGGTGGCTCTTTGGGACAGCGGCTACATGACAGGGTAACTAAGCCGAACTTGACCCAAACTATGCCATGGTTGAGGATAACTTACCTAATTTATCTTCACTCCTTGTGGTCAATATGGCGTCAACCATAACCTTCCATTTTGTCCGGTCCCCGGCTGTTTGCAGTCTCCCAAGACAACTTAACCAACCGTATGGTTATGTAAGCTACTTGAGGGGAACTAAACCAAACAAAAGGGTAGCATTTCCAAACTTTAGGGTAAATTATCCAAACTTGAGGGTAACTTATCCAAACTTTGAGGGTAACATCCAAACTTTGAGGGTAAATTATCCAAACTTGAGGGTAACTTATCCAAACTTTGAGGGTAACATCCAAACTTTGAGATTAACTTATCCAAACTTTCCGGGTAACAAAGCCAAACTTGAGGGTAACAAAGCCAAACTCGAGGGTAAACTCAGCTAAACTATTCCCTCCTCAGATCCACACATAAAGGTGATTGGCTATCCAGAGAACGTCAGTTCAGCTAAAGCTAAGATCATGACGGTCCTGGATACCAAGGTGAGTCTTTATTGTTGTTATCAGTGTGCTCATCGTTGTGTGTGTGTGTGTGTTTTGTATCGGCGTGGTCATCATCTTGTGTGTGTTGTGTCCGCGTGGTCATCATCTTGTGTGTGTGTTGTGTCCGTGTGGTCATCATCTTGTGTGTGTTGTGTCTGTGTGGTCATCACCTTGTGTGTGTTGTGTCCGTGTGATCATCATCTTGTGTGTGTTGTGTCCGTGTGGTCATCATCTTGTGTGTGTGTGTTGTGTCCGTGTGGTCATCATCTTGTGTGTGTTGTGTCCGTGTGGTCATCATCTTGTGTGTGTGTGTGTGTTGTGTCCGTGTGGTCATCATCTTGTGTGTGTTGTGTCCGTGCGGTCATCATCTTGTGTGTGTGTGTGTTGTGTCCGTGTGGTCATCATCTTGTGTGTGTTGTGTCCGTGCGGTCATCATCTTGTGTGTGTTGTGTCCATGTGGTCATCTTGTGTGTGTTGTATCCGTGTGGTCATCATCTTGTGTGTGTTGTGTCCGTGCGGTCATCATCTTGTGTGTGTTGTGTCCATGTGGTCATCTTGTGTGTGTTGTATCCATGTGGTCATCATCTTGTGTGTGTTGTATAGACGTGGTCATCATCTGTGTGTGTTGTGTCCGTGTGGTCATCATCTTGTGTGTGTGTGTTGTGTCTGTGTGGTCATCATCTTGTGTGTGTTGTGTCCGTGTGGTCATCATCTTGTGTGGGTTGTGTCTGTGTGGTCATCATCTTGTGTGTGTTGTGTCCGTGTGGTCATCATCTTGTGTGTTGTATCGGCGTGGTCATCATCTTGTGTGTGTTGTGTCTGTGTGGTCATCATCTTGTGTGTGTTGTGTCCGTGTGGTCATCATCTTGTGTGTTGTATCGGCGTGGTCATCATCTTGTGTGTGTTGTGTCCGCGTGGTCATCATCTTGTGTGTGTGTTGTGTCCGTGTGGTCATCATCTTGTGTGTGTTGTGTCTGTGTGGTCATCACCTTGTGTGTGTTGTGTCCGTGTGATCATCATCTTGTGTGTGTTGTGTCCGTGTGGTCATCATCTTGTGTGTGTGTGTTGTGTCCGTGTGGTCATCATCTTTAGTGTGTTGTGTCCGTGTGGTCATCATCTTGTGTGTGTGTGTGTGTGTTGTGTCCGTGTGGTCATCATCTTGTGTGTGTTGTGTCCGTGCGGTCATCATCTTGTGTGTGTGTGTGTTGTGTCCGTGTGGTCATCATCTTGTGTGTGTTGTGTCCGTGCGGTCATCATCTTGTGTGTGTTGTGTCCATGTGGTCATCTTGTGTGTGTTGTATCCGTGTGGTCATCATCTTGTGTGTGTTGTGTCCGTGCGGTCATCATCTTGTGTGTGTTGTGTCCATGTGGTCATCTTGTGTGTGTTGTATCCATGTGGTCATCATCTTGTGTGTGTTGTATAGACGTGGTCATCATCTGTGTGTGTTGTGTCCGTGTGGTCATCATCTTGTGTGTGTGTGTTGTGTCCGTGTGGTCATCATCTTGTGTGGGTTGTGTCTGTGTGGTCATCATCTTGTGTGTGTTGTGTCCGTGTGGTCATCATCTTGTGTGTGTTGTGTCCGTGTGGTCATCATCTTGTGTGTGTTGTGTCCGTGTGGTCATCATCTTGTGTGTGTTGTGTCCGTGTGGTCATCATCTTGTGTGTGTTGTGTCCGTGTGGTCATCATCTTGTGTGTGTTGTGTCTGTGTGGTCATCATCTTGTGTGTGTGTGTGTGTGTGTGGTCATCATCTTGTGTGTGTGTGTGTGTGTTGTGTCCGTGTGGTCATCATCTTGTGTGTGTTGTGTCCGTGTGGTCATCATCTTGTGTGTGTTGTGTCTGTGTGGTCATCATCTTGTGTGTGTTGTGTCTGTGTGGTCATCATCTTGTGTGGGTTGTGTCTGTGTGGTCATTATCTTGTGTGGGTTGTGTCTGTGTGGTCATCATCTTGTGTGTGTGTGTGTGTGTGTTGTGTCCGTGTGGTCATCATCTTGTGTGTGTTGTGTCCGTGTGGTCATCATCTTGTGTATGTTGTGTCTGTGTGGTCATCATCTTGTGTGTGTTGTGTCCGTGTGGTCATCATCTTGTGTGTGTTGTGTCCGTGTGGTCATCATCTTGTGTGTGTTGTGTCCATGTGGTCATCTTGTGTGTGTTGTATCCGTGTGGTCATCATCTTGTGTGTGTTGTATAGACGTGGTTATCATCTGTGTGTGTTGTGTCCGTGTGGTCATCATCTTGTGTGTGTGTGTGTTGTGTCTGTGTCGTCATCATCTTGTGTGTGTTGTGTCCGTGTGGTCATCATCTTGTGTGTGTTGTGTCCGTGTGGTCATCATCTTGTGTGTTGTGTCCGTGTGGTCATCATCTTGTGTGTTGTGTCCGTGTGGTCATCATCTTGTGTATGTTGTGTCTGTGTGGTCGTCATCTTGTGTGGGTTGTGTCTGTGTGGTCATCATCTTGTGTGTGTTGTGTCCGTGTGGTCATCATCTTGTGTTGGTTGTGTCTGTGTGGTCATCATCTTGTGTGTGTGTGTTGTGTCTGTGTGGTCATCATCTTGTGTGTGTGTGTTGTGTCTGTGTGGTCATCATCTTGTGTGTGTTGTGTCCGTGTGGTCATCATCTTGTGTATGTTGTGTCTGTGTGGTCATCATCTTGTGTGGGTTGTGTCCGTGTCCTTGTCGTCTTGTCTTAGCAAGTCTCCAGTGACGTCATCGTCCCGTCTTTTTACCCGCCTTGGTAAAGTTTTCATCAACACAAATTTGCCATCTTTTTGTACATGTGGACAACTGCCGTTTTTTTGTACATATATTGACATTGTACCGTGCAATGCGTCTCGAATCGACGACGTCATTATCCGGTCTTAGATCGCTTTGGATCAATGACGTCACCGTCTTGCCCATTTAAAAAAAAAAATTTTTTACCTCCACCCAGTGACGTCTCCTTTTGTCGTAACACGTCTCGCAACCATTGAAATCACCACTTGTCTTGTGTTTGTGTCTCGCCTTTGTCTGGCACGCAGCTAGCAGCACCAAAAACCACGTGATTAAAACAGCACGTCCCATAAGAAAGTGACGGGACTGAAATTAAAAACCGGCAGTACGTCTCAATGAATTAAAAAAAAAAAAACACGCTCGCACTGTTTGACAAAGAACTCAGCGAAGTTGATTATTGGTGAATGTGATCATTGATTGGTTATAGATTTTTTTCTTCTTCTCCCTATCCGCGGATCAAGCCCATCAATAGAATGTATAGAGACAAGCCCGTGTTTCGCTGAATGGTTTTCTGGTACAGTCAGAGTTGGCTGGCACACAACGGGGGGTCTGTTGGCCAGAGACTCGTAAAAAGGTTCCTGTCAAGATAAAACTTGGACTGGGCCTGGTTGTTTCTTGTCCTGTGAGGAATTTCATCAAGTCTGTGTGTGCAAATAGATGCTGGTGTATACACCTCGGCAGTGGGTGGGTGGGTGGACAGGAGCGCCCACCCCCCCCTTCCTCCGCGCAATCTACATGGGTGTCAAAAGTCCACCTTGTACTCCTATGTTTATAGGTACAGGGTGTAAGGGGGAGTACATTACAGACTAGCGATTTTAGACTGAATACTTGTTAGCCTATTTATCCTGTCTGTAGTCAATTTAGTATACACAGAGTAATATCCACCACTGGTCTGACTTGATCAGTTTCTTCCAGGCATCTCTTCGGGTCTGACCCCCCCCCCCCCGAATGAAATGGAGTTTATATAGTTAATATATAGTTATATACTTTTACCATTGTCTGCCGGAGAAAAAAGCTGTCTATATGTTATTGAGCTCGAGAGCTAACTTTATTGCAAAGACTGACAATATTATTTTAATAATGTACCTAAGTCATTGCAATCTCATCAAGTATTTGTGGCCTAAACGAAATCTCCCCCCCCCCCCCCCCCACACACACACACATAACCACCAGGGTCAGGCACCGTTCACGTGATGTCTGTATCAAACGAGCACTTGATTTCTTACTCTGGCACTTGTGGTTCCAGACACATGGCAGTTTCTAGGGTATCTAAGCAGTCTCTTATTATAGGACATGGGGTGGCTTAACCAGGCTCGTATAGCGATGGGCGGTGGTTGTCTCAGACACACAACGATGGGCGGCCATTGTCTGGCTGTTGATTCTCAGGGGAGACAACTCAAAGGTCAAATGTCAGCTTTGTTTATGTCTCGCCATCTTCTAATCATCAGCACGACGAGCTCCGCCTAATCTGTAACGTCACATGTGGACTCTACCACAGCTTATATCTTGGTAACTGGCTCGTTGGGTCAACCATCGTCTGTTTGACCCTTGTGGACCACTGCTTATACACTGTTAGACCATTCTGGACTCTACCACAATTATACCCTGGTACCCAGGGGCGTAGCGAGGGGGGGGGGGGCGGGGGGTGCGGACCGCACCGGGTGACACCATTTAGGGGGGTGACACCAAGGCAAAAAAGAGCAAAATATATAGAGAAAAACTCGAGGGGGGGGTGCAAATCGAAAGTTTGAGGGGGGGGGGTGCAAATCGAAAACTTGGGGGGGGTGCAAATCGAAAGTTTGAGGGGGGGGGGGTGCAAATCGAAAATTTGAAAGTTTGTCCCTGGGAAGGGTCTCTATGCCTCTGGGGGGGGGGGGGGGGTGACACCATTAAGTGCCGCACCGGGTGACACCCGACCTCGCTACGCCACTGCTGGTACCTCATGCGTTACGCGCCAACCATCATCTGCTTGACCCCTCTGAACTCTACCACAACTGTGTTTTAGCGCTGGTCAAGAACCCTCACTGTGCCATGTGTCTAGTTATTGTATCAGGGCCAGGATAGTCTGGTATGGTATAACTCACTCGAGGGCTAGTATTAGTAGTATAAAAAACAGCAAGCACGCGAACAACTTCTACGCCCGAGGTGTTTAGACAGTTTGTGTATCAACTGGTAATCTATAGGCAACCCTCAGTAACATATCTCAAGACAACAGCCAGTGTGATACTAGATGTCTGAATATATTAACAATGTGTCATTTTGTGTATATTTTAAATGTGATGTATGTTTTTGTCTATGGGTTTTATAAATATATGTATATATATATATATATATATATATATATATATATATATATATATATATATATATATATATATATATATATATAATATATTTATATATATATATATATATATATATATATATATATATATATATATATATATATATATATATATATATAATATTATAATAATATATAATATTACATTTAAAATGAGTATGTAATGTTTGTAATGAAGAAGTAATACCCGTCCCTTGTGTCCAGAGTAACCGGGTGACCCTAAAGATGGACGTGTCCCACACAGAGCACTCTCACGTCATAGGCAAGGGGGGCAACAACATCAAGAGGGTCATGACAGACACAGGGTGTCACATTCATTTCCCTGACTCCAACAGGGGGAATAATATTCAGGAGAAAAGTAATCAGGTAGGTGATATAGGGGGGATAACTTTCAGTAGACCAGTTACATGACAGGGGGGGGCAACTTTCAGTAGACCAGTTACATGACAGGGGGGACAACTTTCAGCAGGCCAGTTACAGGACAAGGGGGACAACTTTCAGTAGACCAGTTACAGGACAAGGGGGACAACTTTCAGTAGACCAGTTACATGACAAGGATGACAACTTTCAGTAGACCAGTTACATGACAAGGATGACAACTTTCAGTAGACCAGTTACATGACAAGGATGACAACTTTCAGTAGACCAGTTACATGACAAGGGGGGCAACTTTCAGTAGACCAGTTACATGACAAGGGGGACAACTTTCAGTAGACCAGTTACAGGACAAGGGGGACAACTTTCAGTAGACCAGTTACATGACAGGGGGGACAACTTTCAGTAGACCAGTTACACCACAGGGGGGACAACTTTCAGTAGACCAGTTACAGGACAAGGGGGACAACTTTCAGTAGACCAGTTACATGACAAGGGGGACAACTTTCAGTAGACCAGTTACATGACAAGGGGGACAACTTTCAGTAGACCAGTTACACCACAGGGGGGACAACTTTCAGTAGACCAGTTACAGGACAAGGGAGACAACTTTCAGTAGACCAGTTACATGACAAGGGGGACAACTTTCAGTAGACCAGTTACATGACAAGGGGGACAACTTTCAGTAGACCAGTTACTTGACAAGGGGGACAACTTTCAGTAGACCAGTTACATGACAAGGGGGACAACTTTCAGTAGACCAGTTACTTGACAAGGTTGACAACTTTCAGTAGACCAGTTACATGACAAGGGGGACAACTTTCAGTAAACCAGTTACATGACAAGGGGGACAACTTTCAGTAAACCAGTTACATGAGAGGGGGGATAACTTTCAGTTGACCAGTTACATTAGAGAGGGGATAACTTTCATTACACCAATTTTATGACAAGGGGGACAACTTTCATTTGACCACTTTCAATACAGGGGGGGGACAACTTTGACTAGACTAGTTACATGACAGGGAGACATCTTCCAACAGAATGGTTTGTTAACAAGGCTGACAACTTTCAGTAGACCAGTTACATGACGGGGGGGGGGGGCAACTTTAACAATAGACAGGTCACCTAAGGTGCTGTAAGAAATGACTCCTGAGATGCACATGTTTACTTGTTAGTGTAGGCTCTCTGTGTAGTAATGGCTGGTATTTGTTTGGTTTTGTCCAGGTATCAATAGCAGGTCAGCCAGATGGTGTAGAGACAGCCAGGGCACAGATCAGGGTAAGTCTGATAGTTGTCTCATGTGTGACAGGTGTCTCATGTGTGACAGGTGACTCATCTATGACAGGTGTCTCGTGTGTAACAAGTCTCATGTATGACAGGTGTCTCATGTGTGACAGGTGTCTCAACTGTGCCAGGTGTCTCATGTGTGACAGGTGTCTCATGTGTGACAGGTGTCCCATGTGTGACAGGTGTCTCATGTGTGACAAGTGTCTCATATGTGACAGCCTAGTGTAAGACAGTTTTGTTTCTTTCTTACATCATCCTGACAGCATGGATACTGTGTAACAGCTTGGAGTTATTGTAAGATAGCATGGATACTGTAAGATGGAATGGATACTTTATAAAAGCATAGAGATGCTGTAAGATATTATGGATTCTGTATTACAGCTTGGAGTTAAGATAGAATGGATGCTTTATAAAAGCATGGATACTTTTTAACAGCATGGAGATACTGTAAGATAGCATGGATACTTTATAAAAGTATATAGATACTGTAAGATAGCATAGATACTTCATAACAGTCTGGAGATACTGTAAGATAGCATGGATACTTTATAAAACATGGAGATACTATATGATAGTCACAAAATCTAGCATGGATACCTTATCACCTGTGGCAGGATAGGTTTGAAAACCTGAGTGCCAGATATTTAGGCTTATGTCATGGGGCAGATGGCACTAATCAGGCAATGCTGACTCACAGACTTCATGATAGAAACAGTAATGTATTACACACACTACCCACAATTACACAGACAGCAAATACACAATAATGGCTCTATTAAGAACTCAAAAACAGCAAGCACACAATGATGACACAAACTAATTGCACAAACAACAAATACACAATGATGGCTCTGTTAAGAATTACACAAATCCACATTGATAACCCTCTTGACAAAACCAAGAGAAGGTCACCCTGTTCTTCAAATGACTCACTCAGTTTGCTTGTCTCCCTGTAAAACAGGTGGGAATTTTCAAAGACAACTCCCCCTAATGAAGTTACCCCTACAACCCAGACCCCACATAAAAGATGCAACCTGCCAAGTATCTATTTTAATGAACAGCTTTAATGAACAATTCATGGCTGTTTGGAGAAAAAAAAGTTGTTTGATATGTGTCACCAGTCTGCACGAAATTGTCAGAAGTTTTAATTTCCTCCGTGCTGACAAGACAGGCACCTGCTTGTGATGTCACAACACTGGAAATAATTAGCATAGCTTTCATCTCTGTTTGGTTTCAACATCTGTGGCTTGAATCATGTGTGTGTGTGTGTGTGGAAACATATGTAGTGTGTATGTGTGATGAGATTTGTGTGTGTGTGGTTTGTGTGTGTGCGTAAGGATTATGTATGGCAGGTGTATGTGTGGTGTATTTGTGTGTGAGGTGTGTATGGTATGTGTGTATGGAGAGTGTGTGCATAAGGATTTTGTGTGGTGGGTGTATTTGAGATGTATTTGTGTGTGAGCTGTGTGATGTACATCCATGTTGATTGTGTGGAGTATGTGTGAAGCTGTGTGGGTCTCACATGACAAACCTGCTTGATTTTTCCATCAGATTGTTGCTGTATTGTCCTGAAGGCTTTTTTTTTTAAAATAAGAACTTGTACAAACTCTCTGACAATAGTTCAAAGTATCAGTACATTCCATTACCTAGTAGTATGGATGCTGTGTAATGACCCTCCCACCATGCTACATGACCTAGTATGGATGCTGTGTAATGACCCTCCCACCATTGTACATGACCTAGTATGGATGCTGTGTAATGACCCTCCCACCATTGTACATGACCTAGTATGGATGCTGTGTAATGACCCTCCCACCATGCTACATGACCTAGTATGGATGCTGTGTAATGACCCTCCCACCATGCTACATGACCTAGTATGGATGCTGTGTAATGACCCTCCCACCATTGTACATGACCTAGTATGGATGCTGTGTAATGACCCTCCCACCATTGTACATGACCTAGTATGGATGCTGTGTAATGACCCACCCACCCACTCCAGTGTATATTTACCGTGCATTAAAATCTCTGGCACTGTCTCCAGTCCCTATAGCACCACATTCCTGTTTGATTGTAGTTGAACACCTACTGCCCTGTACACCCACATTAACATTTCTCCAGCTACCAATTTGTTCACCAGTTTTGACATATGACTTGTAATATAACCCTGTTGCTACCACCCCTCTCCTCAACCTTCTCCCCCCCCCCCTATGTGAGTGGTTATCTACCTTTAATTGAAACAGCCAGAGAAGGCACAGTGGACTGACTGTCTGGTGTTCCCCCTGTTATTTTAATCGCTGCAGCAATATCATAACCTTATATCTTTACTAGCTGTAGCAATAGCTGTATGAGCAGCCTTGTTAGTGTACAACTATAAGAATAGCTTTGTTAGTTTAATAGCCTAGTTCACTAGCTGCAGCAATGTTCTTGTTCAATAGCTGTAGATATGGTCCTATTACTTCCCTAGCTGCAGTAATAGCATTGGTTACTAGCTGCAACAATAGTCTAGTTACTTCCCTAGCTGCAGCAATAGTCTTGTTACTAACCTAGCTGCAGCAATAGTCTAGCTACTTCCCTAGCTTATTGATCTTGTTACATTACACAAGTAGTACCTTGTGACTATCTACTACAGTGGTCTGTGGACTAAACAGGTACACAATAAAATGGTCCAAAATGTTGAAGTGGCTGCTGCCACCTGTAAATAAATGCAGTGTGTGAGTAGCCAAGATGGCTGCCAGTGGTTATCTGATGAGTGTCTACCTCCCATTGGATGGTCCAGATATCTGTCACCAGTTCATGGGAGTATGCAGGGAGATAAGCTTCACGGCACTGACAGCAGGGGAACCTGTCTTACCTGCAGGACAAACATACACTCAACACTTACATATAGCTCACATACGAGGGGATGTTAACATATACCTGCAACACACATATACAAGGAATATAGCATATACATACAGCACACCTAATATAACTAAAATTCACCAACATATACATGATCTAACACATCCATATAATATACATATAGGATATAAAAACATACACAAACTTATGCAGAATATAACAAGCTTAAACAAATCTACACATGACTTAACACACATACATGCATAGGACATGAACATGGATCCAAATCAGACTAAGAAAAAAATATAAAACACATACACATAGAGTTGACTTTCACTTACATAAACTTAAAAAGTAGGACTACGAAATAATTAACAGTAATCAATCACATAAAAAACATACACCCAACAACAGATACCTTCAACAATACCCTTTTAATCTGTCTATATAACAATTACCTTATGTGATATCTCTTCAACAATTACTATGCGTCAGACCTTTTCAACAATTACCTTTTACTCAGATCTCTATAACAATTACCTTGTGTCAGACCACTATAACAGTTGTATCAGATGGCTTCACCAATACCCTTTTAGTTATCATGGCCTGTTGTCATCATCTTATCTCCCCCCTGCTAAATTCACCCAGGAAACTAACACAAAAAATACGCTGCACTCTTTTTTTTTTATGTCAGCTTTTTTTTTTAAACTGGAGAAACTGTAGGCATTATAAACAAATAAGAATTTCTCACACTTGTGCAACTGGTAAAAAAACCAGACTGTTCCAATAATTTATTTTTAAAAATGTAGTTGATGTGTAAAATACTCACCTTCTGCACCATTATTCCAGTTGTGTTATTACAGCAAAAGGTCACTGCAACTAATGCCCTAATCTTACTAATTTCCTTCAAAAATATTTGAGCAGAAAAGATTTGAACTTCTAACAACACCGCTTAGTTTTTTAATTGTGTGGTGGGGAGTTATACCAGCTAAAGTATGAGATCCCTAGGTGTAGAGGCAAATCTTCATTTTCCTGCCTAATTTTCTGATTTAATACGTAAAAATCTCTAGTAAATATTCAGTAAATGTACAAATGTCTTCATCATTATGTTTAAATTATAAAACAACAACTTAGCATTATTATGGTACATTTGAAATGGCATGGTGAAGAGATGTTGGATCAATGTAATGATTACACTTATAGCAAACCTTTGCTTTCTCCTACAAGACATGGTTATTTTTACATCATTAGAAGCATAAATGTGTTAAATAACAAAACATTCAGAAACAAAACACCAAAAAATGTTGGCATGTTCCCTGTTGTGTTGATATTTCTTTTGTTAAAGCATGCTGTGGCCTGGATGTTAGAAAAATGTTGACTTAGTATCTCCTTCTTTCAACTAGGATTTAGATGTATGTAAAAATGTTGTTTTGTTCATACACACAAACCATAGACTGGTGTCAGACCAGGACACTAGAAAATGTATTCTTGTAATCCACATTGACTGTGTAATTTGTATATATAACCATGTATTGTGTATATATAACGAGAATTACTCTTGAATAAAATGATTCACATAAATGTCATTCCTTTTCTTCCAGAAACTTTTGTCTTTATTGTTTAGGTATAACATTGTTCACAAAAATATCATCCCTCTTCTTCCAGGAACTTGTCTTGAGTGTTTAGGTATAACATTGTTCACAAAATATCAATCCCTTTCTTCCAGGAAATTGTCTTGAGTGTTTAGGTATAACATTGTTCACAAAAATATCATCCCTCTTCTTCCAGAAACTTTTGTCTTTATTGTTTAGGTATAACATTGTTCACAAAATATCATCCCTCTTCTTCCAGAAACTTGTCTTGAGTGTTTAAGTATAGCATTGTTCACAAAATACCAACCCTCTTCTTCCAGGAACTACTGCCCTTAGTGTTCATGTTTGAGCTGCCAGTGACATCACCAGTGACACCCGTCCCAGATGTGACGTCACCATTCATCCAGCAGCTGCAGCAGGCCAACAACATCACCATCAACTTCAAGCAGAGGCCCCGGACGTATGCGGTCATCATCAGGGGGTCAGTCCACAGCGCCAAGTGTGTCAAGCAGGTCACAGCACACCTGATGGAACAGCTGACAGGAAATGTAAGCTCTTCCTTTAGCTCAGCTCTTTAAGATATTTCCTTGCTCTTGTAGCTAAGCTGTTTAAACACCTGAGTCATGAGTTGATAATTTAACCACAACTTACAGCTGACAGGAAATGTAAGCTCTTTCTTTAGCTCAGCTCTTTAAGATATTTCCTTGCTCTTGTAGCTAAGCTGTTTAAACACCTGAGTCATGAGTTGATAATTTAACCACAACTTACGCTTTCAGACAAATCCAGATAAATCAAAATACATTTTGCTTTGTTAAGACATTTTCTTCGAAGTAGGAAATTAAAGTTTAAAAAAAATTATTTTCATTTATTTCCTCTTCACTATGTGAACTTTAAAAAGTTGGATACCTGTCTTGTTTATTTTAAAATTGTTTTTCCAGCTATGCCTAGTAATAACCTAGACCCTACCTCTGTATATTATCATTAAAAAAAATTCAATATTTTAGTTTTTTTAGCTGTGACATGATTCTATTTGAGCTAAAAAAAATAAATACATTTAACAGTTGAAGAAAGTATACAAAAGTTAAGTTAGAACCCAATTGAATGTATGTAGTTGTATTTGTTTGGTCAAAATTGAATTGAATGTTTGTTGTCAAATTTGTTTGGTTAAATTTGAATTGAATGATTGTTGAATTTGTTTGGTTAGAACTGAATTGAATGTTTGATGTTGAATTTGTTGTTGTTGAATTTGTTGTTGTTGAATTTGTTGTTGTTGAATTTGTTTGGTTAGAACTGAATGTAATTTTTGTTGTTAAATTTGTTGTTATTGCTTGGTTAGAACTGAATGTAATATTTGTTGTTAAATTTGTTGTTGTTGTTTGGTTAAAACTGAATGTAATTTTTGTTGTTAAATTTGTTGTTATTGCTTGGTTAGAACTGAATGTAATATTTGTTGTTAAATTTGTTGTTGTTGTTTGGTTAAAACTGAATGTAATTTTTGTTGTTAAATTTGTTGTTATTGCTTGGTTAGAATTGAATGTAATATTTGTTGTTAAATTTGTTGTTGTTGTTTGGTTAAAACTGAATGTAATATTTGTTGTTGAATTGACCAGGTGAGCCTCCCAGTCTCCATGCAGCTGGAGATAGCCCCACAGCACCACATGTTCATCATTGGCAGAGCTGGCGTCAACATCAAACACATCATGCAGCAAACTGGCGCCAACATCATGTTCCCAGACCCCAACACAGCAACACCACAGCGCAAGGGAACCGTCTTCATCAGCGGAACTATTGAAAGTGTCTTTCTGGCTCGGCAGCACCTGATTGTAAGTTCTCATTTTTTTATTGTTGGACTGGAAATGAAATTTTATATAATAGTGTTGGATAATAGGAAGTAAATATTAAATAAATTGTATGACTGGATAAAATAAATGTTAAAACTAATTGTTAAACCAGATTAAAATTTTTTCTTTATATTGTTGGGTTGGATAAAATAAATATTAAAACAAAATGTAGGACTAAACAAAAAATATTGAAATAAATAGTTGGACCGGATATTTAATATGTAAACCAAAAACTGAAAGATAGCCAGCTATCTGCCCTGAGTTTCTTGCATTCTCCTTGTCAGGGTGCTGTAGATAAGAAACTTTCTACAGCCAAGCTTAATGAATCATTACTTACATGCCTGCTACCCAGCTCTCTGAAAACTGTGCCAGATAAATTTTCTAGGTCGTATTTCTTTTTTAATAAAAAGGGAAATTTCCTTTCAAATAGAAATCAAAGCACCATAAAAAAAATTCTGGCGTAAATTTGAGTGACTAGTATTGATGTTGGGTGGAGGGGTAGGCTGTAGGGGTAAGCTCATTTTCTAGGACAGGTGAAAGATTGATGGTTGTGAAGGGAAATAAAGCGTTTAGGCTGACTTCATGGTACATTATTTATAGGCTTAGATGATTAATAGATTAGTGTTGATGTGAATGTATGTGTGTGTGTATACACACACACACACATATATATATATATATATATATATATATATATATAAATATAATATATATATATATATATATATTTATTTATTTATTTATATATATATATCTATATATATATATCTATATATATATATCTATATCTATATCTATATATATATATATATATATATATATATATATATATATATATATATATATATATATATATATATATATATATATATATATATATATATATATATATATATAGGCCTATGTTTTATTTTTTTATTTTTTTAAATTCACATAATTAGTCCTAAGAAAATAATCTTAGTTGTTGATTGTGTGACATCTGAAAATAAAATAGGAACAGGTGGGAGAAAGATTTACATAAGAAAATGTGCTATTGTTTGGGTCAGATCTGATGTGCTGCTTTGAAGTTTTTGTTTGTGTTTGTGACTAGTTAGTTTCTATTGATCTAAAGCAAAACAAAAGAATCGCTTCCAGTTTCTTTGACAGGTCAATAAAATAAAATCATTATGATTGGCTGATAGTTGTTTGTGTAGCAATCAATGTTTGTATTGATTTTTTTTATTGAACAGCTTTCAATACATTTCTCATCTCTCCCCTCCCCCACCCCCCTCTCTCTATTTCTGTTTGCATCTAGTTCATGTTGGCATATATAGATTTAACCAGCAGTATTAGCAGGTGTATTGATTAGTTCTACATTGAATCAATCTTCTCCTCTTTAAAACTTCCTGATTCATCATGGTCACCCGAATCAATTATTTAATTGTTCAATTGCTACCATTGTGCTAGAATTCTTGCAGTTTATTTTCTTAACACTCACAATTAAAATTAGTCAAATAAAAAATCAGCATCAAGTTTTGTACTAGGAAATTCAAATGATGCAATTTTATAAGGGGACAATTACATTTTCTAATATTGAATTGAAATAATAAAAGTTTCGAAAAAGACATAGCTAGAAATATTTCAATATTATGCTGATTAAAATACACATGTCTAGAAGGATATTGTTAAAATATTATCTTATATACGTTGATAAAATATACATTTCTATAAGGATATTGATACAATAAAATACACTGATAATACAATTGATTATAAACTGATAAATTCAAAATTTCCTAAATCATTGACCCAATCCAGTTTTTTAATAATCCATTGATACATTAAACATTTCTAAAACGACATTGATGCAATAAAATTTTCTAATGTTTCACTTGCTACCCCCTACTGCCATCAATTTCCCCCAGAGATTTTATTGTTATTTCTTTATTTATGTATTTCAAACTCCCAATCTCAGCCAGACACTGGAGGCTCAGTGTGCACCAAACTTGATAAGGCTGAGGAGTGAAGCTTGTCAGTTGCCACGGCAACACATTTATCTTCACAATAGTTGTGTAAGAAAATAAATGTTGCTGTGAGCTTAGTGCAGGACTTGGCTACAAAGAAGGGTTATGTTTATGTAGCTTTATGCATCTGAAATATCAAGTAAAAATGTGTAAAGTAAATGAGACAACTCTTTATTTCAGGGTTGTCTGCCCCTTGTGTTGATGTTTGATGTGAAAGAAACAATAGAGCTTGATCAAGGTAAGGGAACTCAATGTATTAGAGTTGATCCATTGACTTGGTAGATAAATCACATTATTATTGTAATCTACAGGTATAATAACTCACCTGAATGTTGTAATCTACAGGTAGAATTACTCACCTGATTATTGTAATCTACAGTTAGAATAATTCACCTGATTGTTGTAATCTACAGGTGTAATAATTCATCTGATTGATGTAATGTACAGGTGTTATAACTCACCTGACTGTTGTAATCTACAGGTGTTATAACTCACCTGACTGTTGTAATCTACAGGTGTTATAACTCACCTGATTGTTGTAATCTACAGGTAGAATAACTCACCTGATTGTTGTAATCTACAGGTGTAATAATTCATCTGATTGATGTAATGTACAGGTGTTATAACTCACCTGACTGTTGTAATCTACAGGTGTTATAACTCACCTGACTGTTGTAATCTACAGGTGTTATAACTCACCTGATTGTTGTAATCTACAGGTAGAATAACTCACCTGATTGTTGTAATCTACAGGTGTTATAGCTCACCTGATTGTTGTAATCTACAGGTGTTATAACTCACCTGATTGTTGTAATCTACAGGTAGAATTACTCACCTGATTGTTGTAATCTACAGGTGTAATAATTCATCTGATTGATGTAATCTACAGGTGTTATAACTCACCTGATTGTTGTAATCTACAGGTGTTATAACTCACCTGATTGTTGTAATCTACAGGTAGAATTACTCACCTGATTGTTGTAATCTACAGGTGTAATAATTCATCTGATTGATGTAATCTACAGGTGTTATAACTCACCTGATTGTTGTAATCTACAGGTGTAAAAACTCACCTGATTGATGTCATCTACAGGTGTAATAACTCACCTGATTGTTGTAATCTACAGGTGTTATAACTCACCTGATTGTTGTAATCTACAGGTAGAATTACTCACCTGATTGTTGTAATCTACAGGTGTAATAATTCATCTGATTGTTGTAATCTACAGGTGTTATAACTCACCTGATTGTTGTAATCTACAGGTGTAAAAACTCACCTGATTGATGTCATCTACAGGTGTAATAACTCACCTGATTGTTGTAATCTACAGGTGTAAAAACTCACCTGATTGTTGTAATCTACAGGTGTAAAAACTCACCTGATTGTTGTAATCTACAGGTGTTATAACTCACCTGATTGTTGTAATCTACAGGTGAATAACTCACCTGATTGTTGTAATCTACAGGTAGAATTACTCACCTGATTGTTGTGATCTACAGGTAGAATAACTCACCTGATTGTTGTAATCTACAGGTAGAATAACTCACCTGATGGAAACCTTGGATGTCTACATCACTGTTAAACCTAAACCAAAGCAGCCAAGCAAGGTCAGTAGGTCACTGTTAAAGTAACTGTTGTAGTGATCATCATTCTATCAAAGTTAAAGTATTATTACAACGGACTTATCATCTAGTAATATGATAATTTAGGTTAATTAGTTATGTGACAACGGACTTATCATCTAGTAATATGATAATTTAGGTTAATTAGTTATTGAAAATGGAAAAATAAACAATTATAACTATTTATTTCTAGTTTACAATGGTTACCAAAAATAGTAACATTTATATTTGTGACCATTTAAATGAGCAAGGGAAGTAATTTTTTACTGTTGTTAATGTCTAGTCTGTGACAGTTTAAAATCAACAAAGAAATAAATGTAGCTGTATTTGTGTCTAGTCTCTGACTGATAGTTTAAAATGAACTTTGACAGTAAATGTAGCTGTATTTGTGTCTAGTCTGTGACAGTTTAAAATGAACAAAGAAATAAATGTAGCTGTATTTGTGTCTAGTCTGTGACAGTTTAAAATGAACAAAGAAATAAATGTAGCTGTATTTGTGTCTAGTCTGTGACAGTTTAAAATCAACAAAGAAATAAATGTAGCTGTATTTGTGTCTAGTCTGTGACAGTTTAAAATGAACAAAGAAATAAATGTAGCTGTATTTGTGTCTAGTCTGTGACAGTTTAAAATCAACAAAGAAATAAATGTAGCTGTATTTGTGTCTAGTCTCTGATAGTTTAAAATGAACTTTGACAGTAAATGTAGCTGTATTTGTGTCTAGTCTGTGACAGTTTAAAATGAACAAAGAAATAAATGTAGCTGTATTTGTGTCTAGTCTGTGACAGTTTAAAATCAACAAAGAAATAAATGTAGCTGTATTTGTGTCTAGTCTGTGACAGTTTAAAATCAACAAAGAAATAAATGTAGCTGTATTTGTGTCTAGTCTCTGATAGTTTAAAATGAACTTTGACAGTAAATGTAGCTGTATTTGTGTCTAGTCTGTGACAGTTTAAAATGAACAAAGAAATAAATGTAGCTGTATTTGTGTCTAGTCTGTGACAGTTTAAAATGAACAAAGAAATAAATGTAGCTGTATTTGTGTCTAGTCTGTGACAGTTTAAAATGAACAAAGAAATAAATGTAGCTGTATTTGTGTCTAGTCTGTGACAGTTTAAAATGAACAAAGAAATAAATGTAGCTGTATTTGTGTCTAGTCTGTGACAGTTTAAAATCAACAAAGAAATAAATGTAGCTGTATTTGTGTCTAGTCTCTGACTGATAGTTTAAAATGAACTTTGACAGTAAATGTAGCTGTATTTGTGTCTAGTCTGTGACAGTTTAAAATGAACAAAGAAATAAATGTAGCTGTATTTGTGTCTAGTCTGTGACAGTTTAAAATGAACAAAGAAATAAATGTAGCTGTATTTGTGTCTAGTCTGTGACAGTTTAAAATGAACAAAGAAATAAATGTAGCTGTATTTGTGTCTAGTCTGTGACAGTTTAAAATCAACAAAGAAATAAATGTAGCTGTATTTGTGTCTAGTCTGTGACAGTTTAAAATCAACAAAGAAATAAATGTAGCTGTATTTGTGTCTAGTCTGTGACAGTTTAAAATGAACAAAGAAATAAATGTAGCTGTATTTGTGTCTAGTCTGTGACAGTTTAAAATCAACAAAGAAATAAATGTAGCTGTATTTGTGTCTAGTCTGTGACAGTTTAAAATGAACAAAGAAATAAATGTAGCTGTATTTGTGTCTAGTCTGTGACAGTTTAAAATGAACAAAGAAATAAATGTAGCTGTATTTGTGTCTAGTCTGTGACAGTTTAAAATGAACAAAGAAATAAATGTAGCTGTATTTGTGTCTAGTCTGTGACAGTTTAAAATCAACAAAGAAATAAATGTAGCTGTATTTGTGTCTAGTCTCTGATAGTTTAAAATGAACTTTGACAGTAAATGTAGCTGTATTTGTGTCTAGTCTGTGACAGTTTATAATGAACAAAGAAATAAATGTAGCTGTATTTGTGTCTAGTCTCTGATAGTTTAAAATGAACTTTGACAGTAAATGTAGCTGTATTTGTGTCTAGTCTGTGACAGTTTGAAATGAACAAAGAAATAAATGTAGCTGTATTTGTGTCTAGTCTGTGACAGTTTAAAATGAACTTTGACAGTAAATGTAGCTGTATTTGTGTCTAGTCTGTGACAGTTTAAAATGAACTTTGACAGTAAATGTAGCTGTATTTGTGTCTAGTCTGTGACAGTTTAAAATGAACAAAGAAATAAATGTAGCTGTATTTGTGTCTAGTCTCTGATAGTTTAAAATGAACTTTGACAGTAAATGTAGCTGTATTTGTGTCTAGTCTGTGACAGTTTAAAATGAACAAAGAAATAAATGTAGCTGTATTTGTGTCTAGTCTGTGACAGTTTAAAATGAACAAAGAAATAAATGTAGCTGTATTTGTGTCTAGTCTGTGACAGTTTAAAATCAACAAAGAAATAAATGTAGCTGTATTTGTGTCTAGTCTCTGACTGATAGTTTAAAATGAACTTTGACAGTAAATGTAGCTGTATTTGTGTCTAGTCTGTGACAGTTTAAAATCAACAAAGAAATAAATGTAGCTGTATTTGTGTCTAGTCTGTGACAGTTTAAAATCAACAAAGAAATAAATGTAGCTGTATTTGTGTCTAGTCTGTGACAGTTTAAAATCAACAAAGAAATAAATGTAGCTGTATTTGTGTCTAGTCTCTGATAGTTTAAAATGAACTTTGACAGTAAATGTAGCTGTATTTGTGTCTAGTCTGTGACAGTTTAAAATGAACAAAGAAATAAATGTAGCTGTATTTGTGTCTAGTCTGTGACAGTTTAAAATGAACTTTGACAGTAAATGTAGCTGTATTTGTGTCTAGTCTGTGACAGTTTAAAATCAATAAAGAAATAAATGTAGCTGTATTTGTGTCTAGTCTCTGATAGTTTAAAATGAACTTTGACAGTAAATGTAGCTGTATTTGTGTCTAGTCTGTGACAGTTTAAAATGAACAAAGAAATAAATGTAGCTGTATTTGTGTCTAGTCTGTGACAGTTTAAAATCAACAAAGAAATAAATGTAGCTGTATTTGTGTCTAGTCTGTGACAGTTTAAAATGAACAAAGAAATAAATGTAGCTGTATTTGTGTCTAGTCTGTGACAGTTTAAAATGAACAAAGAAATAAATGTAGCTGTATTTGTGTCTAGTCTGTGACAGTTTAAAATGAACAAAGAAATAAATGTAGCTGTATTTGTGTCTAGTCTGTGACAGTTTAAAATGAACAAAGAAATAAATGTAGCTGTATTTGTGTCTAGTCTGTGACAGTTTGAAATGAACAAAGAAATAAATGTAGCTGTATTTGTGTCTAGTCTGTGACAGTTTAAAATCAACAAAGAAATAAATGTAGCTGTATTTGTGTCTAGTCTGTGACAGTTTAAAATGAACAAAGAAATAAATGTAGCTGTACTTTGTGTCTAGTCTGTGATAGTCAAAAGTATTGAAAGAAATGCTGCCAACATGTACTGGACCAGAGAAATACTGCTGGGTCTCAAGTCTGATGCCAACTCCCCTGTCAATGCGCTGAAGCGTGACACTGGTCAGCTGGGACCAGCTGCTCTATCTATGACAGGATTAGGTGAGTTGCCCAGTTTTTTAAAACTATTGTTTTTTTCCATGCATGTACAATTTTTAATTATAATGTTTAATTATAAAATATTTTGTTATCAGGGTTAATATACGTCCATTCATGATCAATAATATTGACCAGAAGTAATAAGCTTAATTACTGATCAGGTTTTGTATGTGTAATCATACTAAATAATTATTGACCAGGGTTAATGAGCCCCAACAACTTCCTGCTCAATGGACAGCTGGGTAGCTCAGGTGTCAACGGCACCCACTGTGTGAGCGGTCAGATTCTCAGCCACAACCACTGGCTACAGTCTAGTCCTAATCCAGGTGAGTTGATTCAGCCACAACCACTGGCTACAATCTAGTCCTAGTCCAGGTGGGTGAATTGTGCTAGACTTGTATTGTCTTATATTGTAGTTGTTGATCAGTTATACTTTGTTCTAGAATTTAAGTGTTTGATGTATCTTATGTATCTTAATGTTGTATGTTGCAAATGTGACTTGTATGACGTAAATTTTAATCCAGTTACTAATTGCCCAGCACTGTAGGTGTCTATTATGTGCCACTTACCTCTTGTTGTACGTCCACTTTCCTATACTTGTATGTCCATATATGTTCCATTTACCTTGTGTTATATGTTCCATTTACCTGGTGTATATTCCTCTAATGCGTTGTTATACATTCCACTTACCTATATTTATATGTCCATATATGTTCCACTCTCCTACTGTTGTATGCTCCACTCACCTACTGTTGTACATTCCTGTTGTATGCTCCACTCACCTAGTGTTGTACGTCCATGTATGTTACAGGTGTTTACAGCCCCCTGATGGTGGTGACCCCAGCCACCAGCGTCCCCCCTGTAGATATGCTCAGCCCCAGCTCAAATGGCTACCACCCTGACTTCTCTACCAGCGCTTTCATCAGAGTCCCAACTCCATTGGACCATGGTACGTAGACTTTTATTCACTCACCATATCCTAAGCAAAAGACTAAAATAAAATTATATATTAAATACCTACCTTGTTACATACTGCTATACTCATAAAATCCAAAGCGATACTGTTATACTGGTTTTGTTCTTTCAATTAAATATTTTTTCAAACCTGTGGTTGATGTTAGCATTTAAGTAGTTATGTGATTTAATAATTTTAATCCCAGGATAAATTAAATTTGTTTGAAACTGTGTGATTGATGTTAGTAACATTGAGATTTGATCTTAGGTCACAGCAGCAGCAACAGTGGCACCGCCAGCCCAACCAACTCCCCCTCCAACAGTCCAATTCCTCTGTGTAGCACGGCAGGTATGTGTTTCCTTCTAGAACCTTCTGACCGTGTATTATATTACTCGTTCAAATGGCTTATTTAATTGGACTAAGTATCTGATTATTGACTAAGTATTGAAATGGTAGTCAGAAATAAACATTGTAGTAATGGAGCTACAAATTCAGGCAGTCTACATGAAATGTCCTTTTTATTGTATTAAAAGTGGGGGGGGGGGGGTGTCTTCAGTAATTATGTACAAATTCTTATTTTAATTTAGAAAAGCTAAAGTAGAGTAATAGAAACTACTTTTTTTATTGTTTGGTTGTGATAAAAATATGATCCTAGTACACTTTAAGCATTAAGATCTTCAGTTCATGCTGGAGAAAGTTAAGTTATATTGGCTAGATATTTGTTTAGATAGTACAGTGTTAACGCTGTCATATCCTCAGCAGACTTGGCCAACTTACAGAAGCGTGGGACCCTGGGGGAGGCCCTGTCACAAAACACCAATGGTCTGCTGGTGGGGGCCCTGCACCACCACCCCAAGCAGACCCTCCAGCAGAAGGTGCAGCACCAGACACTTGCGCACCAGACCCTGACGCACCAGACACATGCGCACCACCACAGCTGTCACTCCCAGGACATGCTCAACAAGACTTGCTCCCTGACCCAGCTCAGCTCACTCTCACAGAGTCCTGCCAACCCCCAGCTGTATAATGGACTGACCCACTCACACATGTTGTAAGTCCCAGCCATCTTCAACTTCAAGAGATTAATGTGGTCTTTATCTCCGAGTTGGATGTGGATATAGCAAAATGTGTGATATTCCGGATTTGTGTAGAGATGCAGCACACATTAGTGTTCTTTACAACTTGCTGCTAGGACACTACAGTATTATCTTGAGTATTTAGCTATCAGGGTTAGGGTCACAGCTAGGGTTGAGGTAATGATGCTGGCAAAATAATAACCTTGAATACATCCAACTGAAATATTAGCATTAGGGGGGAGTGGGGGATTTACTTGTACTCAAATGCTGATGTTAAACTTTTTTTTAACAAATGAAGAAATGTTAAACTTTTCAAAACAAATGTTCCTTGAAAAGTATTGAACTTTAAAAAAACAAATTTCCTTAAAAAATATTAAACTTTAAAACAACACGTGTTTCTTGTAGAAATGGTGATAAAACTGGAGAGTCTAGCCCCGTGGACATGTCAGAGAAACTGGCACCAGGGATTGAGAGGAAAAACTCCAGCACTTCCCTGTTCAATTCACCACTACAGTTTGGCTTTGATTACGAACAGAAGAAATTGTTAGCCATGAAAGGTAGGCTTTCTAGTATTATTTTCTCAAATCAGTTTGTAAAGACATTGCAAAATTTGATATATTTTATATTTTGCTTTTATGCAACAAAGAACCACCTTTTTTAATTACGAGTTAAAACATAAAAAAACATCTTTCAAACTTTTAATGAAACAAAAGTTGCTTATCTCCTTGTTCTAGTGATGTAGGCATAACTAAACCTCAATGACCGACATAAAAAAACTGATATAAGACAACACATCAACAATTTGATGTTTCTGTTTTTTTTCCAGCCATGCAGAAAAAACCTGAGGGTGAATCTAGGATCCCCACAGACATCTGGGCTGGCATGGGCTTCTCTAAGTCTATGCCAGAGTCTGCCATCAGGGACAAGCTGGGGCAGATGGGCATAAGTGCCAGGGTCACTGACACCAGCCTGCATTCTGGGTTTGAGGTTAGTGACACATCCCTACATTCTGGGTTTGAGGTTAGTGACACATCCCTACATTCTGGGTTTGAGGTTAGTGACACATCCCTACATTCTGGGTTTGAGGTTAGTGACACATCCCTACATTCTGGGTTTGAGGTTAGTGATACATCCCTACATTTTGGGTTTGAGGTTACTGACACATCCCTACATTCTGGGTTTGAGGTTAGAGACACATACCTACGTTCTGGGTTTGAGGTTAGTGACACATCCCTACATTCTGGGTTTGAGGTTAGTAACACATCCCTACATTCTGGGTTTGAGGTTAGTGACACATCCCTACATTCTGGGTTTGAGGTTAGTGACACATCCCTACATTCTGGGTTTGAGGTTAGTGACACATCCCTACATTCTGGGTTTGAGGTTAGTGACACATCCCTACATTCTGGGTTTGAGGTTAGTGACACATCCCTACATTTTGGGTTTGAGGTTAGTGACACATCCCTACATTCTGGGTTTGAGGTTAGTGACACATCCCTACATTCTGGGTTTGAGGTTAGTGACACATTCCTACATTCTGGGTTTGAGGTTAGTGACACATCCCTACATTCTGGGTTTGAGGTTAGTGACACATTCGTACATTCTGGGTTTGAGGTTAGTGACACATCCCTACATTCTGGGTTTGAGGTTACTGACACATCCCTACATTCTGGGTTTGAGGTTAGTGACACATCCCTACATTCTGGGTTTGAGGTTAGTGACACATTCGTACATTCTGGGTTTGAGGTTAGTGACACATCCCTACATTCTGGGTTTGAGGTTACTGACACATCCCTACATTCTGGATTTGAGGTTACTGACACATCCCTACATTCTGGGTTTGAGGTTAGTGACCTGTCACTTCAATCAGGGTTGAAGGTTTTGATGGTGGTGCTATCGAGCCCACCTTAAAATTGCTATACTGTGTAAACTATTCTGATGGTCTCTAATACATTTTATTTTTTACCATTTAGACATCACGTCCAGAAATTGACCTCAGTATTGATAAAGATCTTTGGAGTGAAGAGCCAAGTCCCGAGAGAGTGGTCAACAACCGTCCACTCAACAAGGCTCCAGGAGAGTATCCAAGTCCCAGAAAAAAATGTGAGCATGCTCAGTGTTGTTAATGGCTGATGTTTTTTTTTTCCTTGCTGTATCATTGACAACTTTCCACTTTCCTCCAGTTCAATATGGCCTCAGCCATAGCAACCACGTGGACAGTGCCAGTCTGCCCAACAGTAAAGCCATCTGGTCAACAAAAACTGACCTGGCTGAACTTTTTAGTGCCCTCAGCCTGGGCAAGTACACAGACTTGTTTCAGCAACAAGAAGTGAGTACATTCATCTGTCATCATCTGCTGATTACACATCCACATCATCATCTGCTTGTTACACATCCATATCCACATCTGCTTGTTACACATCCACATCCACATCTGCTTGTTACACATCATCATCTGCTTGTTATACATCCACATCATCATCTGCTTGTTACACATCCACATCATCTGCTTGTTACATATCCACATCACCATCTTCTTGTTACACATCCACATCATCTGCTTGTTACACATCCACATCATCTGCCTGTTATACATCATCATCATCTGCTTGTTACACATCCATATCATATCATCATCTGCTGGTTACATTTTCATCCACATCTGCTGGTTACACTTACATCCACATCTGCTGGTTACACATCCACATCTGCTTGTTACACATCCACATCATCATCTGCTGGTTACATATCCACATCCACATCTGCTTGTTACACACCCACATCCACATCTGCTTGTTACACATCATCATCTGCTTGTTATACATCCACATCATCATCTGCTTGTTACACATCCACATCATCTGCTTGTTACACATCCACATCATCTGCTTGTTACACATCCACATCATCTGCTTGTTACACATCCACATCACCATCTGCTTGTTACACATCCACATCATCTGCTTGTTACACATCCACATCATCATCTGCTGGTTACATATCCACATCCACATCTGCTTGTTACACATCCACATCCACATCTGCTTGTTACACATCATCATCTGCTTGTTATACATCCACATCATCATCTGCTTGTTACACATCCACATCATCTGCTTGTTACACATCCACATCACCATCTTCTTGTTACACATCCACATCATCTGCTTGTTACACATCCACATCATCTGCCTGTTATACATCATCATCATCTGCTTGTTATACATCCACATCCACATCTGCTTGTTACACATCCACATCATCATCTGCTTGTTACACATCCACATCATTTGCTAGTTACACACCCACATCATCTGCCTGTTATACATCATCATCCGACTCACCTGTTTATTACATTTTGTGTAACCGAAGATTTACTAACTCATCCGCCTGTACTTAGTTGCTTCTCTGCACCTGCATCACAAGCTATAGGTAACTCACCTACCGTATTGTCTGTTCCAGATTGATCTCTGCACATTTCTCACACTATCTGACCATGACCTGAGAGAACTTGGAATCTCAACATTTGGTGCTAGAAGAAAAATGTTGTTAGCTATTGCAGGTCAGTGATCACAACCTCTCTCCTACACTGGGTGGTCTCTGCTGTCTTCAAATAGTGGAGGGGGGGGGCAGCTAGTGTAATATAACACTATACAATTTTATTATTGGTTTATATCATGAATTTTAGGATTAGGACTAAAATTTGGGTTATGGTTAGTATCTGGAAGGAACAATGTGGTCTAATGGTAGAGTGTTTGATTGCTACCCCGAAAGTCTTGAGTTTGGATCCAGGGCTCAAGTTTGTATGACATCCCTGATCCCACCCAGTTATGATGGGTACCTGACTCTCATTAGGGAAAGTATAGGCGGCTGGGCACAGTGCTGAAAACACTAACCCTTCATATGCCATGATCACTAAAACAGATGAACTTAACTTCACCTGCCCTATAAGGTTTGTATGGTACCAGATGTCACTATAGAGAGAGCAAATAATACAATGTGTGTTACTGTTAACCCAACGTTATCTTCTCAGATTTGAACAAACGCGGCACTCTGCTGCCTGCTGCAAGTTCAAGGACATCCTCCATGGGTCATGTGGCCTCCAGCCCCCAGGGTCCAGACAGGGAGTTGTCCAGCGGCAGCAGTGAGCTGTTCCCCTCCCCCAACCCCACCCCTTCTCTGATGAGTGCTCGCGGTGGCCCTGACCTTGGTAGCCTTAACGGTCACTGGTGAAAGTCTCAAAAAACCAGCAAACAGGGTAGATAACTGTGTGACAATTTCAATCCTCCGTCCAATGAAGCTCATTTCAAACAGCAATCAATAACAGTCAGCTGGTCATGTGACCTAACTTGTTGATCAGCTGGTGTTTTGTCTCTCGTGAGAGAAGGTCATTCAGTTGTTTTTTTTATAACGTAACAACTCATAGGACGAAATTTTATTGAATGGATGCTCTTGTTCCCATGACAACAATCTTGCTCAAATTTGAGCAGTGGATCTTGCTTGATGTTGGTTTTTTTTATTGTTAACTTTTTCTATTTCCTGTTATTGTTTTAAGTTTAAAAAATTTAAACTTTTTGACTCAAAAAATTACTTTGAAAAAAAGTAAATTCTGCTGTTAGATTAAAGGAGTTATTGTTAATTTGTTGTGGAGCCATCCATTTATGATATCCACATTAATCCCCTTCAAACAATGCCCCCACTCCAGAATTTATTATCCTTATAAAACTAATCTATAAGTAGCCCAGAATTTTTAAAATGTAATCTCTGATGTTTCAATCAGAAACATTTTGTATTGAGATAAATTGTTTTCTTTTTTGTTGCTTATAAGTTTATTGATTCAGCATGTGGACTTCCACATAGGCCTAATAACACCACCCCAGTCATCGCAAGTCAGCAATGGCTGACCATCAAACTCATCACACCACCCCCCTCCATGTGGATGCCATAAATGGACTTGCCCCCGTTCTGTTGTTAGAAAACATCAGATGGCATTTTATTTTTTTTATCTTCACAAATTATGCAATGTCTTATTCATTTTCTACGTTTGTGTTGATGAGAGCAGTATTTTTCTATCCAAATTGCTGGATACAATTGTAAATTTGATAAAGCTGCCTAAAGGTGCTGCTGACCAAACTTTGTGCCAACTATTTATTATTTTATTAAAAGTTAAATTGCATTTTTGACTCTTAGTTTTACTAAAGGTGATTCATTTCTTTTTATGCAGCAGTGACTAATAATAATTTTTCATGTACAGTTTTATCACTTTTTAAAAATAAAAATTTTAAAGCTTTTTAATGTATTATCAAAATGACATTTTCAACCTTTTGGACTTAAATAATTGGGTTTTTAGGAACAAGCTAATTCACATAATCCCTAATCATTTGAAACTACTTTTTAAAATAACTGTATAACTGGCTGTTTTCTTCACATTTAAAGTTCTCTAATACTAATACATTTCATCTTTTACATGTAAATCTTAGATTTAAACCACTGACAATAAGTTGTTTCCCTTTTGTTTAAACCTCTTGGTTAATTCCCTTAAAATTGTATTAAAACCACATATGTTGTTTCCTTTACATAACATCTAAACCACAAGTTTTTCTCTTAATTTTACCACACTGAAATTACTTATTTATAAATATTTCCAGAAAAATGTATCATTTAATTCAAACCACTTGAATTTTTCCTTGACATTACAAAAAAAAAACCCACTTAAATCCAAAGTTACCTTTCTCTCGCTTCTACTACACATAAATAGAATTTTTAAAAAAATCTATAATGTAGCAAAGAGTTAGATTGCCTATTTTAATTTTCCTATACGCACTTGAAAGGTTAGTGAAGCTTTGTACCAGTGCTGGCCTGTCTGTCTGGTCATTTGATAAGTCAACTCATGTTTTTTTTATTAATTTCTTAACACATTTGACAATATAAGTCAATTCATGGTTGTTGGTTTTTTTAATACTTTTAATGGAGTTACACTTTTTTTTTTAATAAGCTGTGGTAAATTAAATGTTAGACATGAATATCAGACTGCTTGATCAGTCACAGGATTTGTTGATAACTCCTCGCACATCTCTCTCCACAGTTTTAGTTACATTTTTCTAGTGGTTGTCAGGATGTATTCTCCTTTGTTATACCATTTGTTATTTTTATCCACTCATTATTTTAAGCAGCAGTCTTTTTTTATTAAAAATTGTTGTTGAGTTTCTACACTAGGGAAATGTAGAACTGGCTTCCATCTTGGTTTCCGAGGAAGCGCAAACAAAACTTGGTGATAACTTCCTGTCTCACATAGATTACTCCCCTTACAAGCTGTGGTATTTTACATACAGCCAAATGGTTGGCAAGTCACACAGACTCATTTTTACAATATATCTGTATATAACAATGCATGTTTATATAACTGTGATCATTTTTCCTTTGGTGCTGTATCCCAATTTGTAAATATATTAACTTTTCCGTCCCAATATAGCAACAGAAACAATATATCGGTTTGTTTAAATAGAATGTGTTTATGAAGTGGTTGGGAAAGTTGGTGTAATTATCCAACTAGATGATTCCATAACTTGTTATTGATGATGTAAGATGCTGATGGTTTTTGGGACTAGAGTGTTTGTCCATAGTTGTATATACCAAATGTTTTTATTTCTGTATGCTCAAATACAAACAAATAACCAAGTTTATGTTGTTTAACTCAATAATTCATTTTAAAATTTTTGGTTCAATTTTTCAATGTTGTTACCCCAAGCAAGATCCACCGCGCCCACCCCAGCCCTCATGTTCTCAACAACCTGGTTCATTATCTAGAGCTCGTTAGACTCGACATTCCTAACTTTGACGAATGGTAATTAATTATCTGCACCCCAAACTACATTCAATCTTAAATTTTTTCACTTAGAATCTATTTCAAGTTTGATGTTATATCTATTTGAATGTAGTGTACTTTTAAAAATTAAAAACTTTTTTTATTTGATAAAAAACTTGTAATTTTCACTCAAAATTTTAATTACCATTTAATTATTTTTGCTGTCTGTTAGTGTTATAAAGCTATTTCAAGAGAAAAAATGAAGCTTTTGACTAATGTACCTATATAAGTTATAATGGTTAGTGGGAAAAATCTGCAGTATTACCCAACAAATAAGGGGGTTTTCCTCACAAATTGCCATGATAAGAAAAAAAACACATTGACAAATGTATTCTTTTGAAGCACTATGAACTGCGATTAGGTTGAAAACATGATGGTCCATGAAGCTTTATAAGATTGGCTTTACCAATGACACAATCCACACAGGCTGTGGGGAAGAGGCTGGCAGCTCACCCACACAATCACTGGAGCATTTACCAAAAAAACAAGTCCAAAATTATTTTTTCTAAAGAACCTATTGAAATTAATTCTTTTAAATTTGGCTTTGCTGAGGTCTACAGTTTCTGGCCAGTGAAATGTGGTGCTTGAGCTGCCTGCTTAGAGCAGCCAAAGTCATTCTAAGGTTTTTCTAATGTTGTCATGTATGAATGGTATGATTCTGATGTTGTCTTTGGGTCACTGCTGCTATGAATAGCTTACAGATGTTAATTCTAATATGCTTGTTTTAAAGTAGAATTTTGATTATTTTTGTCTGAGGGTTCAACTTTTTTTTTTTTATGATTAAGATTTTAGTTGTAGATCCGTCCATTTTCACCAGCTAGTATTATTTGAGCTGTTTTAAATCTTATTTGATTTATTTCTTTTTGTCTTAAATTTAGTTGAGAAAATCTTCAGATGAGAAGTGATATGAATTATGCAATTACAGAAATACATTTTAAAACATTCTTTGTTTTATTCTTGTTTTTAAAAATTGTGCATAAAGTACATTTTTAGACCAAAAACATATTAGTTATCTTTACAAGCTCCTTAAAGTTCATGGATTACCTAGTAATTACTGACTCTATATAAGGCACAATTTTAGTTGAGGAAATTTTTTTACAAAATACATTCTAAACAGTTATTAATGTTACATTTATATAAATACATTTGTACTGTTGAAACATTTATTAAATGAATTGTAGGTATACATATTTGTAGCAAGAAATTTTTTTTAAAAGTATATTAAATTAATGCAACAAATAGAATGTACAAAAATTTAAAACAATTCTAAAATCAAGTTGATTAGGACATAACAGTAAGAAATACCAAATATTTCAAATTCAACCCCTAGAATAAAATGGACAAAAATATAAATAATTCCAATATGAACCATATGAAGTAGTTCATTAAACTGGCACAATTGCCTACTGTTCAACCAGTACAACAAATCTGACGAGCATTTCAATTACTTAGGTTTTTATTAAAGTACAATCGTAGAAATCTTGCTTTAAGAAGTGCTGTATTCTAGCTTTCTCTTGATTTGTGGCATCCAATCATTGTAGCTTGGGATCAAGTTTTGCATGAAGTGGTCCTCAAATTCTTGTCTTAAAGATGCCAGGTCTGGCTGCTGGTCACATGATGGTATATTCAGAAGCTCCTTGAACAGTTTTTTCCATAAGGACACGTTCCACTTCCTGTTGAGACATTTTTTTGTTAACATAGTTCTCAAATACTTCTTCAATTATTCAACTTTTAACCATACTACACTTCTTCAATAATTCCTTATAACCATCTGTATTATTCATTTATCTCGGTCAATTCTCAAAGAGATTTTTTTTTAAAATGGTTCTTTTGTTGCTGTTTATGAAACATTTTATTTCACAAATGTTTCTGTTTCACCTTTTGGTGTAATGAAAGAATTCAATCCATTCAAATTTACAAGGAACTCAATGACTGATGTATAAATTATATAAAGCCAATTTATTCATCATTGAATTCACTTATATAATCATAGTGGTTGTAATATGCTATATTTTTATTTATTCCAATGCATGAAGCATCATTACAACAAAACGCAATACAGCTGTAGTCTTGGCAAACCACTTGCTTACAGGAATAAAAAAAAAAACCACTTGCTTACAAGAATCAAGAGATTAATATTTACCTGACAAAGTTGCCAGTAACCTTCCAGACTCCATGTTCCTGATAGACATTCATATAAGATCCAAACAACACAACGTGTATAGTCCCAGCCAGGCCAAACAAATCAGTCTGTGGAACAAATATTTGAGGATTATCTAAATAAAATATGCACATACAAAAGATGTAATTTAACATTTACAAGTACATTTTTTGTGTTAAACTAGTATGACAAAGGGTCAGAGTGATAAAGTTTTTTTTACACTGTCTATTAACCCTTAATGTGTAATACCTAATCTATGAAAGTTATTAAAAAAAGGGGGTTGGGCATAGTACTAACCAGTCAGTGTATTCTGTGAACTATTTGATCCTGAAAGGGTTAATCTAACAAGACCAGCACTTAGAATCTTACTTGGTAGGTCCAGGGTCTGTTGGTCATCATCTCAATACACTGGAACCCTGATGTGGCCAGCTTGGCACGGAATGTTGTCCCAGGAGGAAACTTAGTCATGTCAATACTTTGACCAAAGTCAATCAGCTGCACCAGACGAAGACAAGACCCAAAGACTTCCTCAGGGTTGCTGCTCTTCTTGATGCTAGGACTGACATTAGGTTTCAAGTTAGTTTATTCAGTTCTATTTAAACTAATATAAATAGTAATTGAGTGTTACTGAAGCTGTGTAATAGACAGTAGAAAATTTTGATAGGTGGTTAGAATAAAATCTTTGTATTAAACATGTGATGTGGACTAAGCTATGGTTAAAATTATTTGTAACAAATTTAAACTTGTATTTTTAGCATCACTTTTGTATAAATTTAATTTATTTATTAATATTTAACATAATCCTTTTTAATTTGTTTTGGTAATTACCAGTTATGTAAATAATAAATTAGACGTTCACAAAATATTTTTTTAAAGTGTAAAGGTACTCATAAGACTATGGACAAAAATGTTTGTAGTCCATGTCAACAATGGTGGCCTGGTACCACTCAGCCCACCAGGTCAATGACATTGAGTGGCTATGCTATTGTTGTAGCATATTTGTAAGACAAGAAATCTGAGCTATGCTATTGTTGTAGATATAAACTTACAGTCCCAGGAAAAGAAAGTTGTCAGGCTTGACGTCAGCATGGATAAAACCAGTTTTGTGAATCTGCTCAAACATGTGCAGCAGTTCAATGGTCAGCAGACAGGCAAAAGGTTCCACATGAGAGAGCAAATTTCTGTCATTTTTGTACAGGTTCACCACATTCTGTCCAGAGAATATTTTACAATACATAGTGGTCATTAATAAACAGAACTTAGATCTATTGCTTTTACTCATGGTAATAAAATTTATAATTGGAAGGCTTTTCAGAGCCAAACTGGTTATTTTTTACCATCTTTAGTGTGGATTATTTTTAATTCCTATAATAAAAAACAAAGTAAAAGATATGAACTTTCTTTGAATTTGAATCTGATAGTCAAAAGTCAACACAATATTAGAACCAAACTTACAAGTAAAGAGCCAACAGAAACATATTTCATCATCAACAAGCTTCCATCACTGTAGAACAATCCTTTTTCCACTTCCATCACAGCTGATTGCTGTTGATGGTATATTAACATTTGATGTTGATGGTACATTAACATTTGATGTTGATACATTAACATTTGATGTTGATACATTAACATTTGATGTTGATGGTACATTAACATACAATCATTTCAAGAAAGGTGAGATTTAAACATAATTTAAGTAAAGTTTAGAAAGTACACAAAGATTTAGGTTAGACTTGTATTAGTCTATAAAACTAGGCCTCCAAAGCCTGAGGAGAAAGTTTTTAGAAAGAATGAGATCCACATACCACATCCATCTTACACTTGAGCTGTGCAAGTCTCCTCCTGAGTTCGTAGCTGACATAAAACTCCCAGTAACACTGGGGAGTCTGAACCTACAGGCAGATGGGAAAAGTAAAGTTTCAAGTCATATTCACCATATATTGACCATAAACAGTCATGTAGGAGAAAAGTCAAGTTTCAAGACAATAGATAGACCATAAACAGTAAACATAAGTAAAGTCATATATAAACAATATCTAGAAATCTTTGTGATGTGTTAACTTAGCATTGATGCATAAAAAGTTGAGCAGCTAAATTTCTAAATCACTCTACTTACTACACACAATGAACAACCAGATACAAGTAATGGGTTAATCTAGTGTAACAATATACACTAGCATATAGTTGGCCACCATAGGATATTTGGGTCCAGATTTTTTAAAATAGTACAAGACACCTAAATAATTAGGGTAATGAACAAAAGTAGACATCCTTGAGTCCACCCAGCTCTGATGGGTACCTGACTGGTTAGGGAAACCAAGACAGCTGGGCATAATGCTGACCACACTACACCTTCATATACCAAGGTTACTGAAACAGATGAACTCTTTATCTGCCGCAAGTGTCTTGGGCACAAACAGGAAAACATGATGATGTTAAAATAATTAGGGTATCAACAGCTAGAGTTAGCTGCTATTTTAGATTCCATGTCCCCTGTTGTATAAAATTGATATTTTTCCTCACCTTTAAAACTTTCTCTAGGTTACCAGACACTGTATATTCATCAGCTTCTAGAAATATTGTTGAGCCTTTATAGATTTTAGCATAGCCCCCTTCGCCAATGCACTTATCAATAGTGATGAACATATCTGCTGTGGCTATCGAGAGAAAAGGAACAGACATAGCCATGGTTAGAAATTAATTTCCTTGTCATTTTTACAATAGATGGCTTAAAATAAATAGAAAATGCAATGGGAGCTGATGTACCATTGTAGTAACTTAACAAAGTGTACCATCAAGTAGTGTAAAACTATAGAGTTCAATGAAACATCAAGAAAACTTACGGTCTGAGAGGTAGGACATTTCCTTGATTTCAGGCATTGGGCCAGAGGATAAGTGAATGTTTGGGTAATCAGATAATGGAGGTTCAAGTGAGTTTAAGATGGAGGCTGAAAATAGAAACAAGTGTTTGTAAGAAAATTATCAACAAAACTCACAATCGAGCATGACTAACACTGTCATATAATTTAATTATACTGTATACAGGGTTGTTAACATAAAAATTTTATTTTACCAATAACATTATCATCAAACGGATCAATCAAAGCCAGCTGAGCAGGGTTCTCAGGCTCTGGCAGGCAGGTTGTTGTATCAATAAAATGTTGGCAGGTTCTGTCCAATGGGCTCTCATTGTATCCATCACTGTGGTGGTAGGAGAGGATTTTTTTTACATTTTATTTACAATGGTTTGTTACTTTACACTGTATTTTGTATGAGAACAACATAACACACATATGTTTAACAAAAAAAAAAATGACAACTTTTTAAAAAACATTTGTCTAATATGGCACATGTCTGTCTATTTGTGTATTGTGAAATTTGTCTTAGCATATGTGAGTATAGTGACACTGGTCTGTGTATATATGTGAGTATAGTGACACTGGTCTGTGTATATATGTGAGTATAGTGACACTTGCCTGTTTATTACGTCACCTCAATGATTGTAACACATGTTTATGAGTACTTGATTTGATTATCACTAACCTGTGAATACTTTCTTGTACCAGATTTTTCTGTGGAATGGATTCTTCTGTGTGTAGTTTACTTGGCTCAATGCCACTCCTATAGTGTGTTGTCTGTTGACATGATTCTCCACTACCATCCCCACTTCCTTCAAAGATGGGACTGGTAAAAAAATAAAATTATTAGAACATTTTCAAAATTTCACAACTTTTTCTTTGAAAAAGTTCAATTTTATTATAAATGACCTTTCGATCTTAATTTTGTTTTTAATATTTATTCTTCCAAACAAAACTAATGTAATGTACTTCAAATACCAAAATGAAATTTTTGCTTTAAAATATGTATGTTAAGACAAGTTAGTTTAATTATAAGCATTATTTATATGCATAGTTTGATGAAGAATTGTTGGATGCTATGTCTGTCTCACCTGAGATGCTTGGAAGGAGTATTTCTCTCAATGTTCTCTGCAGTAACAGAACTTGAGTATGTAGACTCACACATTTTCTTGAAGCAAGGGTAAAATTAACTTCATTATGTTTCTTTAAATGATTTCAAATATCATCTATATATTATGCAATATTGCAATGGTAGTTTTAAAACCAAAGTGACTGCCTTTGCTCTGATGTAAAGAGGGTCAAGGTATTTTGTTAAATATTTGTTAAATAGACACTGTTAATAGGGTTGATTGAGTAGAGTTCACCAGTTTCTGATAATGAGGCTCATGAAGGGATATACTCAGAAACTCAAGGAACTTACAAGTTAGCAACTGTGTGCTCTACATGGCACCCTTATAAATATCTTTCATTGAACAACATAAAACTAGTGGAACAAGATTTCCCTGAGTACAATAAAAACTGTCACAATGTGGAAGTTGCATGTATATAGTCATATCAGTTATAAACAAGTGAGCTTAAACGAATACACTCTACAGAGATGTAAGAGGCCGCAAAAAGAAAAAAAAAGTGGAATTTTTTTATAAGCGGGGTGTTTGAGCAGGAAGATAGGGGGCAGTAGTAGCAGCCGTAATTTTTTCAAACAATTCAGTTATTTCAAGATTTCTTTAGTCATTTTAAAAAACTGAAACATAATTTTAAAAACAAATAAATCAAGGCCCTGGTAAATTGTATGATCAAATTATAATAAATTATAATAAATCATTTACTTGTGTCAAAGCTTAGACTATGTAAATGGATCTAGTATTTTTCAAAGTAATAATAAACTCAAAATAACTAACTTTACATCATATGTATATATCATAGAGTATATATACTTTTTTTTTCTCTCTTAAATAGTGATTTTCTTGACTTCATTAATTCCTGACTTGAATTAAATAGGTCTTCAAATAAATCCACCTGTTTATTATTTGCAAGCAAAAGAACTGATTGGCTGAAAGAATTTGGATTTTTTTTTTATGGGAAATTATCCTCAAACAGAAAAAGCGTATTTCCCCAAAAGCTACTTCTCTGGCTTCTTCAGCATGTTTATACTATACATGTCTAAAATAATTATCATTAAAAAAGTTTTAAAAAACCCACGTTTTCTGATTGAACTAAAAAGTAGAAAATAAATGCTATACATCACAATTATCCAAGCGATCACTCTACTATAAGCGATGAAAAACGTGGGGCGCCGAAGTAAAAGTTTTTTATCGGTCATTGTTAATATAAGATGTAAAAGTTATATTACTATTGATTGGATAATACTATTGAGTTTTATTAGGGAGCTTGTAGAGAGTCAACAGTATTAAAAACTGTAAGAAAATAACGGCGCCCCACGTTTTTCATCGCTTATAGTAGAGTGATCGCTTGCATTATTGTGATGTATAGCATTTATTATCTACTTTTTAGTTCAATCAGAAAACGTGGGTTTTTTAAAACTTTTTTAATGATAATTATTTTCTACTTTTAGTCTTTGTCTGTTTGTTTGCATTCAAATCTTGCTATCGATTTTATCTTCTCGCATTCACTTTTTTTTTTGGGTAAACGAAGACAACTCGTAAAAAACACGTGCCTTTTCCAATCGACCTTTTTTCTGTGTTGCCGTTTCTTTCACCGTTGTTTGTACACAAACACCGCGTGACCACTACTCAGTAAGCCAAAAGAGGGAGAATACCGAACCTTGTTTTCATCAAATTACAATTACTAGGTTATGTCCCTTTTTTTGTACAAATATATAGGGGCCTAAAATGATCAATAAAAATTTTCCATGGATCAATTTAGTAATAATAACAATTGAATATTCTATTGTCATGGGAAACAAAGCTTTCCTGAAAATTTCAGCGCGTTAGCTAACTGGGAAGTGCCCGAAATTTCGATCGCAAGATTTGATTGGAGAACCAAACAAACAGACGCGAAAGCAAGTTAAAGAAAACGTGGGAAAAAATGTAACAAGTAAAAACACTTGTTCAGTGGGAAAATATTTCCACATAACTTGTTGCGAGTTTTTTTCTCTAGACATGTATGCATAGTAAACATGTCGGTAAATGTAAATGGGGTTTGACCGTGAGACTTACAGATGACTGTGAGTTAGCAGCACATGGAGTTGAGGCTAATCGAGCTTGAACGACAAAACTATCTAGTGGGGCCAGAGTCAAATCATTCTTAGCCTGGCACTCTATGGTGTAGTCAGCAAACTGACACTAAAACATTGGTATACAAAATTATTAGAAATAATACACAAAAGACCGTATGATGATAAGCTTTTTGGTGCACTAAAAATAAGAAAATATGACCATTGGTCGCTCATGAGATCTCTTACACATTTTAGAGACCAATGTTTTTATATTTGTTTTATTTTTCACTATTAGGTAATTCACTCTAAATGAAGTGAGCTAAAAATATTTGCTTTAAAATTGATCTAAATTTGACCTCTAAAATTATCTGCTCATTCTTAGACCATGGTGGAAGAACAGGAAAAAAATCAATCTAAATCAGTAGTTTAAGGTTTTAGTTACAAGCACACTGTCCACTCACCTCCTGGTCACCATCTGCCATTTCAACATCATAAGCTTGGAACCCTAGGCTGCGACATGCATTCTTTTTCACACTCATTGCCTTCAGGCTGTAAATATAAGTTTTAAAAAGTTGCATATGCAATGATAGATTTCTTAAATATGATTTTTTCCCAACAGCTTTCGTGCTGTTGAATCTACGTTAACCCATTATGTTTACAAAGAACAGCTTGCTTGAGAATAATTCTTGAGAAAACCAAATTTACCCATTTTCAATGTCTTGCTGACCATCAGTATAAATTTCAAATCCCTTTCTACAGCTGTTCTCTTTGGTTACAGACATTGGTAAATGCTGTTCTCTGGAAAGAAAAATCATTGGTAAATGCTGTTCTCTAGAAAGAAAAAACATTGGTAAATGCTGTTCTCTAGAAAGAAAAAAACATTGGTACATTCTGTTGCCTTGAAAGAAAAAATCATTGGTGTAAAATGTCTGTTCAAAAGTATCACATCCAACTTTGTTTAAGCCAAATAACATAAAACGTTTTTTAAAAAATAGCTGACTTACTCATTTTCAGCATCACAATAGATCTGGATTCCTGTGGATGCCTTGAGTGAAGTGGCCATCTTTTCTTTAGGCCTATGGAACAAATCATTTTTTTTATCCTTACTAGTGACTGTTATTACATAGATTTGGTCATTAACATCTTCAACAGCTGCATCATTCAATAAAATAAAAAATGTATACTAAAGGATAAATGACACATGACCCAAACAAATTGTGTGTGAAGTAGAATTTCTGTGCATGACTTCACTCTTAATGGTGTTTGATGCAAGTCAAGTGGTTGGGTTAGAAAATTAACTACTGAAAGTGTTCTATATAAGTACTATAGCCATAAGCACTAAATATGTAATATTTAAAAATAAGTAAGAAATCAACATACATATTTTCTTTACTCTCAGAGTCGCAGAAGATCTGGAGACCTTTTCCGCGGTTAGAACTTTTCAAAGCCTGGCGCTGGGTTTCACAATCATCTTCAAGGATTTTAAAAGGGGCGTGTGCAGGGGCCACTAAATTTTGTCTAGGAGGATCAGCGGCTCTATATTCACAATCATCTTCAAGGATTTTAAAAGGGGCATGTGCAGGGGCCACTAAATTTTGTCTCGGAGGATCAACTGGCCTGTCTTCACATATTACAAAAGGTCTTCGCTCTGTATTGACTAGACCATGGACCTTAGGTGCAGTGGAGCCGTCATAAATCTCAAAGGGTGCACGATGCACAGGCTTTGAAGCTGCTGTATACAATTAATAAAATTTAAATAAAGTAAATTGGAAAAAAAAAAGAAAAAATTTTAAAGTAGGAGTGAGCTACATAACAGACAAGGAATTCATTTTCTGACTCAAAAATGTTTAAAACAACAAGATTTATCAAAATATCAATTTTTTTCATCATACAATTACAATATAAGAGAAAGTAAAACTAAAAAGCCAGCCACATAAAGACTACTATATCTGATTACCACAACCCAGGGGTCGGCAACCTGCGGCTCTCCAGCTCCTTGTACAAATACTAATAATCTTAATAAAAAATAAAATATTTGAAATAAAAAAAATGTTAGTGGCTCTTTAAAATCAGGGAAATTTTGAAAATTGTAACTTTTGGCTCTTCGGCTTCAAAAGGTTGCCGACCCCTGCCACAACCCAACATAAAATAGAAAACTCACCACTAATAAACTCTAAATCAGCAGTTTGACTGTCATTGTTGAAAGATGTATTAAACAACATTCCATTCACAAACTGCATGGCCTCTTTAGTAAATACTGTAGGAGATGCTGCAGTCAAACTCTGAAAGAAATTTTATTTGGGATACATAAGTAGATGGGATGGGACAGTTGTGTGGTGGAGCACTTGACAACTAACTCAAAAGTTCTAATCATGGACTTTAGTACCTCGACTCCCCTGAGTCATGTTAGGGAAAGTAAAAGCAGCTGGGCATAGTGCTGACGACACTATCCCTTCATACACTGAGGAGAAGAAATATATGAGCTCTACTTCATCTGTCCTATGGAATTTAGGTCTGAAAGGGGAGCTTTATTTTTTTTAAGTAGATAAATATATGAAATATTTGTTTTTATAAAAACAGATTTTTAAATAGTATAGGCATAGAAAAAGGAAAAAAAATTAATAAATCATTTAACAGTTAATGCTGGAGGCTCATACTCTTGAATAAGAGTAATCAATATTTTATAAGAAAGCCAATGGTCAAAACGTAAACATACCCCTTTTTTAAATGTAAAGCTATCTGGCGTAGGACCTCTGTGTGGTGTGCTCAAGTGGCTAAGGTTTGAAAGGCCTTGAGAGGCACTGAAAGACTCGCAGGCTTTAAGGGACATCAGAGGTGTATCACTGGGAACTGATGATGTGTTAGGGTGGCTAGCTGGGGTTTCATTGCTGCAGCTACTGGTGTTGGTGCTGCTTGAAGCAAGCAGAGATGGGGTGAGACTGGACTGATGAGCTGGAGGGAAATGTTTGCCCTGTACAAAAGCTCTGACGCTACTTGTGGCTGCGCTGTTAGATCTGTTCACCATGCCTGAGAGAGAGGTGCTAGCAGAGGATAAGCCTCCAGAGGAGTTGCTTGAGGTGTTAAAGCTTGGCGTTATCCCTGAGTATCCAGGCTTAGCTAGAAGTGCACAAATATTACAGAATATTTTACTTTAATAAGCCAATTTGTAAAAGTATTTCATGCATAACTAATCTATATTAACACATAAATATGAATACAAGAGATGATTCCATAACAGAATATCATGTCATACATACCATAAGAAGATTGATTGGTAATATTTACTGGTGTTACTATTTCATTTTTTGAGTCAGTGACTTCCATTTTCTCATGGTTATCAGACGATGAGTGACTGAATTAATAAAATAAAATTAAGGTTTTTGTTCTACATGGTTAAACTGCTTTAAGTAAAAAAAAAATATCTAGCACTGTACCAGGAGTATAGGTAATAAAATGACCACTGACCTGTCTAGAGCATTTAATGGTGATGCAAGTACCTGCGGATGTCCTATATCACTATTAGAGACAGATAACTTTTGCGAGCTACCAGAACTAGAGGAAATTAAGACAGCATTAAAATTGTATTACAAAATAATTTCTCTAAACTGGATTAAAATTTTGACTGCACCGTCTTGATGATATAAATTATTTTTATCAGCTAACAATATAAATTAAATAAATAACAAAGAAAAACTTATACCTGTTAATACTTAATTGGGCTTGAAGCAAAGCTATCCTTTCCTTGGCTTGCTCAAGTTCTTTGAGTAAAATCTCTTCTCTTTGTCTTTGTTCCTCTAAAATGAAAAGATTTTAAATGACAGCTACATTTGTTAAAATTTTTTTTTAGCTTAACAAACATCTTTAAAAGATAATAAACTGAAACAGATTTTGCTAACCTTCTTTACGAAGTCTCTCTGCTTCCATTTCCCTCTCTCTCTTTCGCTGCAAATACTTGACAGCCCTAAGCTCCTCAAAGCTAAACTCTTCAAGACCTTGGTACACCTTAAGTTTTTGATACATGGGGATACCAGAATCTGAAGAAGACTGTGGCTGTTTTATGTTGCACAGAAGATCTTTCTGTATAGCTTTACGCGAGCTGCGGGAAAAGAAAGTCTTATAGCTTAACATGGGTTTGTTTATTAATATCTTACGTATAATATAAAATATAAAACCTTTTTTGAGAAATAATAATTTCAGAGATTTGATATCTTATAGAGTACCTGAACTCTCACTGAAATGGTACAAGTATGATTAGATCATTATTATTTTGAAAAGTAATTAACTTAAAAAAAAACAACTTGAACTTACCTTAGAGGTTGTGTGTTGATCAGTGTTGTTTTTCTTGGTGTTCTAAACAAAAATGTTTTATAAATAAACATTTAATTACAGTAATATTTGTGGAGAATGTTGGATAGGCAAAAGAAACTCATACATGTAAAACAAATCACTGGGATTGTGATTATGATTCTGACTCAGAAAGGACATGACAATGTTACACATTTCTATATTTGGACTGTTGAATAGATTTCTAAGAAAAAATAATTTTTTCCCCTGGCCTTTCCAGGCTGCTGTTTATACATTTGTATGATTATTCGATAGCTAATTATCACATTAACCAATAGACAGACTACATACAGTGTAGAAAATGAAATAATAAAGTTAATTTATTAGGACAGAAACCTTTTTTACTATACATCTTGAATTTAGGATTAGAAGTTTTCAGTGACTTGCCAAGCAATTGATTTGTGGACAACAGTGCAGAAATTTTTCTAATCTCAAAGACAAGACTCATTGACTTACATATGGGATAAAATCTCAGCATCCTGATCTTGGTGGATTTGAAAAGGGGCTGGCGGGGGAACCTCAGGCACAGAACCTGGTTTCTGCTTCACCTGGTAATACATGAAATCTGGAGCCTGATTAAAGTGTATTGATAGTAGGCTCCAATATATATATATATATACTCTATGATACAGTTGTAATGGATTATGTGCAAACTAAATTAGATGGGGTTGAAGTAGTAGTTTATCGTTATGTGGGGTGGTGGTAGTAAGCAATGTCTAACAACATTCCCTTTATCAGCATATTCTTTATGCTTTATATATTCTTTAGTGTGCTTAATTTGTACAGCCCCTCCCCCCATATTTTATTTAAAAATTCATTCAATGCAATTATATATTGTTTCATGTTTGGGAGGGGGAGAGGGTTCCAAGAAATTTTAAAAAGAGAGGAAAGATTGTCTAAGTAATTAAATGATTTTCAATGATCTTTGGGATAGGAAACACACACATTTTTTTGTCACAATATATGCCTGATCCCTTATAGCATAAACACATCAAACCTTAGCGTCTGTCCAAACCCCTGGCTTCTTATCATTCTCCCTGTTATTGATTGCTTTTACTGGTAGAGACTGCCACTCAAATGTCTGCTGAGGTTGTATACTTTCTGGGTTATTTTCACTGTCTTGGAAAATAGGAATACCACGAGACGGGATCTGCTTGGATGCAGGTACATGGGAACTTTTCAAAGAGCCAGCTGAGCCTGGAATATAAATATAAACTACTTTTAAATATTTTATAGTTAAAATTTATTTATCATTTAATTATAGTAATAACATAAAGACCCTTGTGTTAATTTTTTTATTGTATTGACAAACATAGACATTGTTTAAATTTTATTAATTTTTAATTATTTTACTTTATAACAGTGCTCAGTAACATTGCAATAGAGAACTAAGGTAAAACGATAATTTAAAAATTGAACAAGAAACATGCCTAAAACAACAGATCCTGTTCTTGCAGCACCAACTTTGTGGGATGATCCTGTTGGCTTTAGTCGAACTAAGGCTGTCCTCTTATCTGCATCACTCCCTATGTCCATACCTGGATTCTGGCTTTCAGCTATTTGGAGAGTGATATTCTTCGCAACTCTACTCTGAAACTGTCTGGAATTATTTGTTGTATAATCAATTACAAGCAAGTTATTTAAATCTTAAAAGATCATTCACAGTACACTGTTAAAACATTGTGGTCACTAAAAATAATGTCTCAATATCAATAAATGTTTAACATCTTGATAAAAATAATTTCTGTTTATACAAAAACATTTAAAATAGAATTTGCATTTTGTGGGATAGTGTTAGCACTACTTACTGCTAATTTGAATGTACAAGCTGGCACAGGTTAAAAACTCTGTAGGACAGTTTTAACACTACTTACTGTTGTCTCTGTAGCAGCAGATCCTTTGGTTCGGCACAGCGTTTTAAGCCCTCTGTAAATATTGCATCTGCCTTTTTGTTATCTCCTTTCTTCTCAAAAGTAAGGGCCCACTCAACATAGAGATTTGCAACTTGAACACCAATAGCATTGTCAAACATATATGCATAGACTTCTGAAGGGTCGTCTGTGATGCTAGCCTAAAAATTACAAATAATCATAAGACTATATTACCAAGGTACATTTAAAATTCACAAAGCTAACCCAAAAATATTAATTAAGATTTGATCTTGCAGTCCACCCAGATCTGCTGGATGCCTGACTCACTTTAGGGAAAGTAAAGGCTGCAGGGCATAGTGCTGACACCATCAATTTTATATGGCGAGGTCAACAAACATGAATTCTACTTCATCTGTCTTATGGATCTCTAGGTGTAAAGGGGAACTTTACTATATTTTACTTTAATAAACAAATTATATATCCCCAACCACATTTATTTAACTCATACATAGTAAGAGAGCAATAGAGAGAGTAAATCAAGTCACAAGAAACTAGCTCTACTTCTCTACTTCAACATTCCTGGAAGAAAGTAAGTTTTTTTTTTAACGTTTTCTATTTTAGGTCAGTTACTTACAAATTTTATCCATACATAAATAAAACGAGGATCATTCTTGTAACTGTCGACATCCTGAAATTCTCGAAGGCACCTTTCAACTAACTTTAACAAGTGTCCATCATGACCACCCTTAGGGAAATATTGCTCAGTCCATTTTATATATCTGAAAATATAATACATATAAACAACTGATAATAAATATTCTGAAAAACATCAATCAATCAAAATTGTTTTCTAAATGTTCTAAGCATAAAACAGCAAAAATAAATAATTTGATTCTGTTTTAAAATAATGTTGCCATTTTTCATTTAGGACTGTAAAATGAGTTTCTTAATGCCAGCAAGTTCATCTCTTTTCTAACTGGTGTTACTGTTAAAATTTGGAATAACAGGTTTAGGTATCAATACCACCAAATTAAATTAGTTCAATATTATAATAGGTCAACAGTATAGAGGACCAGAACAATCTAGGTATTACTGAACACTTTCCCCCAAAAACTAACCGCTCAGTTTATCAATAATAGTTCTAACTTCTTGACCCTGGAGTAAAAAAGCCCATCGTAAGTAAATAAAATATCACCTCTACTATGAACTATTTTACTTTACAGTTGAGTTATTGCTATGAAATAAAATCAGGTTTACCACTGAAAAACAACAAATCTAACTTACCTATACCAAACATCAAAGGGATCATCTCCATTATATGTACGAAGTTCTAGTTCAAAATTACTGAAAATTTGAAGAAATAATTAGGCTACATGTTATTATTTATGTCTGCCACAAAATAAATTTGAATTTAAAATGATCGCTCACCAGGGGGTACACATTTTTATACTTCAAGCTAGATACCATGATTTATTACTAGATCTATATCTAGATCTAAATCTAGTGACACTGTAGACTGTAGTGTAAGTGACAGTGTGTGGTGTAGGTTTGTAGGAGTTAAGAACTTGAGATTTAGATCTAGACTAGATTTTAGATCTCTAGAATCTAGATTTTAGTCTAGCATCTAGAGATAGTTATATAAGTTAGTAAGATGAGGACAAGATACTCTTACTTTACTGTCTTACTTTATTATTATTTTTTACCTTTGTTGTTCCTTTATTATTTTGTGTTGGTCGTCTCCTTGATCAGAGTGCAACGCCGCTACGAGAGATGATATACGGCGACCTTGTCGAAGTGGTTGGACATTTTCCTTACTTAGTTCCCATTCGTGATCATCTACTTCCATTTTAAGTCTTTCAGTGGAAATCTAGATCTGGAATCTAGCTCTATGTCTAAAAACAGCCAGCCTTTGCTACTTTTGTTTTGTCTTCCTTCGATTAACCTAGAAGTTAAATTTACCGCCAGGGTTGCCAGATAAAAATTTTAATATTGTAGACATTGGGCTAAGCATACCAGGTAATTTTTTAATTCTCCCAGTTGAAGCCAACTTTGTTATTAATGCGCATGTTCGTATTAAAACGAGTTTTTTTTTTTAATTTTATATAGGAGCTGTATAGGCGCTGATATTGTGATTTAGGTTAAAAAATAAATTATCTTTTTCATATTATATTCAAATTTGATATTCTAAGCTCAAAATAAAAACGACAATGTATAGTCAAAAGCTGGAGTGGATATAAACGTGACAACTGTGCTCAAATGTTACCTAGATCACCCCATGCGGATCATCTCAACGACAGAATCGTTTGCCTAGATTCTAAATAGTATTGATAAAAAAATATGACAGAAATCCGAAATTATAATAACCAAGATAATATCGCTTAAGTGGGGCCTAAAGGCTAAACAGAAGTTTATGAAATTTGTCTTTATCAATATTTTAATCAAAATGGATGGCGGCCGGGCCGCCTATGACAAATATGCTTCATATGTAGGGTTTCTTTCAGTCATCCCCCACCCCCAGGTAGTTCTTGAAATTTCTCATGGGGAAGAGGGTCGGACACTGGTCAAAGTATGTTCTCTATAAATTATGTTTTCCTATTTCGGTCAAGATGTGTGCCTGTTCTTCTTCTTACCCCCGCCCCCTCCCAACAGCACACAACAAATCGTCACAAAAACATATAATCCCAGTCCATCAGGTACATACGTAATATCACGTACGGAAAAACTTACAGGGGCTACGTTTTAATTTTGTTTTGAACCAAGTGTTGTTTTACCCCGATTTCTGAGCTTGAAGTCCATCTAAAAACGTTGTATTTTCTACATTTTTTTCTCTCCCTTAGTATTCGTTTTGCCACATGAGGTACTTTTCCAGCATCACAAGTTTTAATTAGCCCTCGCGTATTGTTATTTAAACATGATTTTATAACGGCGCGCGTGAAAGAGGGTCGCGATGACCTACCATATATGTAAACAGTTTGTACAGCAGTTGAAAACAATGTGATAAGCACGACCTTCAACTTGGCTTACTATTTGTAAGCTTTTTTTAAAAGCTATGCCAATACAGCTTTGTATTTAGATCTATAGCCACTTAGGCTATCTGGTCTGATAATGCATACCAGGTTGTTGTTTTTTTTAAAACTATTTGTTCTTTTTAGTGAGGTATGGAATAGGCTATTTAATTATTTATTTTTTTAAAAAGGTGTTCGAATTGAAATTGTCATGATATTGATAACTTTACCAAGTTTTTTTTTAACTATCTGTTCCTTTCGGTGAGGTATAGAATAGGCCACTTAATTTTTCTTTAAACGGTGGTCGAGTAAAAATTGTATCAACACGGCAGAGGCGTATCGAAGGGGGGGGGGTATTGGGGGGTACATATGTCCCCGGGCGACGACCCTAGTGGCGCCATAAAGGTTTGGAAAAAAAGATAAAAAGCTCATTTTAGCTGCAGTTTTGAATTATAAACAAAAAATATATGGGGGGCGCCAAATTGAAAGTTTGTCCCCGGGCGCCAGAAGAGGTCGCTACACCTCTGCAACACAGCATCAGGAGTAGCCTAGATACTGAGTCATCGCAGAATTTCTCCTTCATCATGTTTATATATAATGCATTATAAATAACAATGTAGAATTATTTTTTAATTCACATTTTAAATGTTATTTTACTACCGCGTCTTTAATATTTAATTACTTTTTTTTAAAAATTCAAATGTTGTTATTTATTTAATTTAAATTAAATTGTTGTTATTATGTGTGTTTAAAAAACGGCCAATGTAAAAAAAAAATAATATGCTCCGTTTTTATTGTTGTTACCACTATAAAATAAAGTTTATTATTATTATTAATAATACTATCCTAACATAATCCTATGCGTGGGCTTAATTTTTGTCGAAAAAGCTGCCGGCTGGGAACCCCCGCCTTCATGATGTCAGAAAAATATCCGCATGACGTTATAGGACATATGAGATGAACGCACCTATAATTCCTTAACGCTAAACCTATTCCCGGTACTAAATAATTCCGTAACTTTTCCCAACCTAGGTTTTAATATTTTTATCACAATAAAAATAACTCTAGAAAGTAGGTCGTCAGACTAACCCGGAAAACAAATTTAAAAATAAACGAATTAATGCAACACATTATTTATGAAACAGGTAAACGCGTTTGTTTCAAGTGTTTAAAAAAAAGGCAACAAGTTTTGTTTAGAGCTGTCATATTTATTCAGTTTATTGAATGAACAAAAACAATAAATAAAAGGGCGTAATATCAATATCGATTATCAAAACTGAAATTAAAATACACCACACCGTATCACATACAAAAATATAGTTAAACGATTACAACAGAAATAAACCGGGAGTGATCTCCCCTAAACTTTCTCGAATATTCTTATATAACACTACGTGGGATGGCAACTCGGAAGATAGACATGATTTTTAATTACTTAAACTTTTTATAAATAAATAGAATCTCATAGAAAAAAAATTGCGCACCAATCGAACGCCAAAACAAAATATGCATAATAGTGCGCAATATTATTAGTACTTTATAAATTTTCATGCGTTTTTTGATAAATCGGAAATAGCGTAAATTAGTACTTCCGGTCAACGGAAATTAATCAAAATTTGATTGAAGGTAGAGAATTAGATCTTCTACTTGCATGTGAAATTTCATTTATCTATCTAAAATAGTACTCAAGTTATAGGCTTTTGAAAAATTAAAAGTAGAAAAAGTACCACTTCCGGTTATCGGAAATCGCTCAAAAGTTGATACGGATCTACGATTTTGATAAAATACTTATATATGAAATTTCATCAACTTAGCTGTCAAGTTATCGTGTTTACACACAGACACACACACGCACACACACAAACACACAGACATACGGTTAAGATTGCAAAATTATGTTTTTCCGCATCAGTGAGGTGTAAAACGTCGAGATTTGTAAAAATCTCGATTTTTTTTGCACGATTACAAGACTTTCTCTATACTTCGTATATACGAGAAAGTAAAAAAGCTAGTTTTTTTTTTTCGAAACAACAAAAAAATCTCAGTTTTTTAAAAAAAAGTTTAAATTGCAAAAGTCTGATGATGTCACCCCCCCCCCCCCCCCCCAACCGATCGGCACTCCGAACTCCTCGATTTTCTCAACTTAGAATCAGAGTTTCTTACAGATACCTCTTCGGGCTTTGCCCCTCAACGCCCCCACACACACACACGAAAAACGTCTACCGCTTAGACAACCCCCTCACCTGGAAAATGTAGTTTCCCCCCCTCCCCGAAAGTTTCAAGTGTCGTCGTCCCGTCCCCCCTGGAGAAAAAGTCTGAAAGAAACACTGCTTGGAATCTATCTAATTTATGGAATTTATTTTAATAATGATACACATTTAGGAGAGTGATACTAGCATTATAGTAGGGTTATTCTGTCCTATTGGTCTTTAAAAAAACGCATTCGAGAGGCATATCACCAATGACAGTGATATCCAGCCTGGCTAATGAGCACGCTTCATCTCATGTATGTAATAAATCAATGATAGGCCAGTCAGCACAGTATGCGAAATCCATATTGGCCCAACATTTGCCCAATGTCGTTTTCTTGGCTAAACACGGGACAAGCTTACGCCAGGATACAGCCAAGATGTGTACGCGCTTGCATCCCTTGATACCTTGAAATTTAACCGTTTTTACCCTGGCTGCCAAGATTACAATGATTTATGTATTCACTGCAGACATTTTTAGTAAAATATGATTGTTAAACTTAATATATGTTAACTAAAATAAGTTATCTTTTAATATCATGCTCTAGTTTAAACATAAGGTTAATAAAAACAACTATGTTGCATGTGTTAAACTTTTAAAAATTTAGGGCGCTACTGCCGGCCCTATCGCGTATTGTCCCTTTGTTCATATTCCTCCACATTCCTTCCTATTGTTCGCAAGCCAGCATCCCGGTTCTTCGCCATTTTTCTTAACAAAAGGCTTTGTATCCAATCTTAGTAAAACAGATAGGCCCACTGTAGCCATCAGTGGCGTAGCGAGGGGGGGGGCGGGGATGTGTCCCCGGGCGCCGACCTTAGGGGGCGCCAAAATGGGTTGGAAAAATAAATTAAAAGGTTGAGGGGGTGCAAATCGAAAGTTTGAGGGAGGTGCAAATCGAAATCTCGAGGGGGGTGAGGGTGGAAATCGAAAGTTTGAGGGGGGGTGTGCAAATCGAAATCTCGACGGAGGTGCAAATCGAAAAGTTTGTCCCCGGGCGCCGGGAAGGGTCGCTATGCCTCTGGTAGCCATTTTCGTTCAATAGTGAGAAGTAGTATAACTTTATTTATACAGAATCTGGAAAACTCGTATTTCTTTGTTGGAAACTTTACTTTAGGCCTTTAGGGGGTCATCCATAAATGACGTAACGCTTTTTTGATGATTTTTACCTCCCACCTCCGCTCCGTCACACATCGTCATAAAAAGCCAGACCCCCCTTAAATGACGTCACACCTCAGCCTACAACCCCCCTCAAAATTGCAGTTGAATTTTTCTTAATTAAAACATCGATATTTTTCCAAAATCTTGTCTGAACTCTGTCAACATGGAGTATTTTCATCAATTCATATTACAATTTATTGAAACAGTTTTCTTAAACGTGAAAAAACATCTTATTTCTAACATTGCTTTTTTTATAATGCAAAAGTGTGACGTCGCACCATCTGAACTCTCCCCCCCCCCCCCCGCTTCCCTCATCACACACCGTCACAAAATTACGGACCCCCCTCCCGTCTACGAGTGTGACGTAGATCTAGGTATAGTCAGCACGGTATAGATCTAGGTCTAGTATAGTTAAGTATAGATCTAGATCTATATGTCATTAAATCAAACTTTTATTAGAAGGTAGTTTATTTGAGGTTTTGAGCCTAGATTCTAAATCTAGATCTAAAGTACTAGACTCTATGTTATGTTTATTTTGGCA